GTTTTGCATAGCCCGTGCACGTTTTATACTAAAGGTTAAATAAACCGATACCAGACAACAATGCCGAAAGATTATTATGGCTAAATCCCAGACCCAAGTCTGTTGGTTTCCAACTACGATTTTTAGGAACACGTGCATGGATATAATAGTATGATTTAAAGTACGATCAGTAGCAGGATACATGCATGGAACGCACGTTATGTATCTAGTTGGTGAGATTGACATTACACCAAATGTTTTTCTTCATTATACCATAAGTCACAGATATGTGAGATATTGGTCCAGTATTTCTTGAAGTATCATTTACATCGTGATGTACCAATTTATGAAAACAGGCAAAAACAAATTTCACATATTACATGTATGATGCATGAGCGTCATGACGCAAGTCAGTTATTCATAATATGTGTATCCAATGTATACAGAAAATATATGCATGCATGTAACTAAAGCATCCTTGCCGATTCATATGTTTTGTACGAGCATATGAGGAAAAAGCTGTAGGAGGAAAACCTTCGCCCCTCTGGGCAAAAACAAATATATGCTTGACATGAACTAATCATTAATTACAGCCACCTTTGCATTGCAAAAATATTCCGAAGTCTTGGATTATAATCATCAGTATATAAAATGCGCATACATCAAATGAATGACCATTTAATAGCTTGTTGGGGGATTAAATCAGGAATAGAATGTTAATAAAGTGGCTGGTATCAGGGCACGGCCTATTTATTTGCCGCCGTGAAATACATCCCGATAGGAACTACGAAAGCAGTTGCACCACCCAAAGCAACAATATAATGTGATGTCGTCAGTTCTAATTAGGTTCGCGCAATGTTATTCCATGATAAGTGGCGTTTGTTTTATTCCGTGCATATTTTGCGCATTCCACGAGTGCCTGAAAGATGATGCCCGCCTACGCCCAGTTCATGTTACATTAACACAACCCACGCATTTTGCGGCATAAACTGTTGAATTCATCATTTACGCCAATAATCTATTTCATAACAGACTCCACGTCGTGCACATAAGACTGCGATGAATCTAGAAGACTAGAACATGCTAAACGAACAACACGAAACCGTGAAAACGTTATATGCTGCTGCTCGACTTATTTGGCCTTGAATATAATATTTAATCACGATTTATTATAACTAGAATCCGACTGAAAAATATTGAATCAGCGGATTGCTTTTACATACATGCATGCCCATACTTAGGCAATACAGGCAAAGGCATATTATATACACAGTTGTACATCTCGAGCTGAATTTAATTGTTAAGATTATCGATTTTTTTATGAGTGTTTTTCTTCCATTTTTTTCTGTCTTTATTGTTACAGTCTTCTAAGCTTCGAGTGTGTATCACTTTTTGAAATGGTAGTAATTAATACTTGTAAAAACCTAGAAACGCTGAAACAGTACATGTTACTTGGTCCGAAGTTTCTGGGTCAAATATTTTACAATCATAGACAGATAAATATTTTGCTGTATTGTTTTGAAGGCTCTATAAAAAAAATGCCTTGCTAAGGCCTTACATATTTATCATGTTCATGTTTTGTCTAAACGCACTTCAGTTACTATACGTTCTCTGCGTGTGCTGAACTGGTGCGTGGGAAGACAATACTCGCATGAATCGAAACATTAGACGTTTGAACAGTCGAAGTTTCAATGGTTAAATATCACCCGCGTCGACTACAAAGTATAAAACTTGTGATACCCGCGCTTCAGTAAGATAGGGAATATAACAATTCTTTCACGAATACAGCAGTGTCCGTTGGAAATGCATTTTCCAAATCCACGAAAGAAAGTTGCTAAAAAAATTTTGCTGAAAATTGACTTTTTTGCTATTAAATTGCAGAGAAAATCATCGCTATCATTTTAAACATATTTCGTACAAATGCATGTGTATTTCAAGAGGGACGGAGTTCGTTATTGCGCAATATGTTCTATAAGTATGCGCAAACGCTTCTGTAGCGTTTTTGACACATTATATAACATGCGTGCACGCTCGTGGACCATACGATAATGTAATTATTGGACTACTAATCAGACCATCATGCTTATCAATCATTATACTTGGGTGGGAGTTAAATATTGCTGCTTATTACCAGTCATATTTCATTACTGTACACAAAAAAAGTGTAATAAAAAGTTTTAGGAATCCCACAACGAGCTAACCTTCCCGTTCCTATGTTTTTCTTGTTTATATTATCATACCAACAGGTCACCTAAAACATTCCGCGAATATTTTGATGATTCGTAAGACTTCCTGACAGTATATCCTTGTATACCGGTGTCCCTATGCCAAGCATTGATTGATAGTGCTTTTCAACGTTCTTCATAAATCTCAACAATCGCTACATGCCAGGCGTGCTGTGTGTAGAAAGGCGTATCTTTAGGGCGTGTTCGCTTCGTGGGGTATACGTTTAATCACAGTCACGTTGGTTGAGATAAACATACAGATGGATGGTGCAGTTGGACGCTAAAATTAAAGTAAAATCACAAATTTTTAGAGATACAATTAACGATTATCATGAACATCTGTGACTGGTTGTATGAAATTTTAGGTAGTTAAATCGTAACTCAAAAATATACGATTTTGATTGGACCACACTGACTACGGGACAACAGTTAACAATTAACTCAAGTTTTTCAAATCGGAAAACTTTAGCGCTCTAGTCAGGGCTACGTTTTCATTTTAAGACGCGTGACTGACATTTCAAACTCTTGAAATTTGACATTCTAAGTACAATACCTCCCTTGTGTGAGTATAATTCAACGTCTCGCACGAAATTTTGCAAAATCCATCCTCTTCACTGCGCGCCAGTGAATATAAGCATGAACACATCAATTCCATTTCCTATAAAAGGGTTTCAATCCCACTTCCCATACCATTGACACTGATTGACTATATGCAATATAGGGCAATAGCCTAAAAATTGTCGAGCAACCGAATATGGAAAGCTTGACGATTTTTTGTTAACAGGATTACACATGCTGGTTGTATATACAATACAGGCGTTGCCTGAACATTGAATCGTAAAAAGAGAGATATCCCCGTCCGTATAGCCAGACTTCTGTAGGTGATGAAATATGAGAGTTTTTTATAGTACAAGATGTCTTTCGTCTATAAGCTAATACATGCAGTGCTAAATTTAATCGAAGTATTATATTATAGAGAAAAAAGCAGTATTATATTATAGAGAAAAAAGCAATTTCGTAACTGAGGTTACCAGTGTCAACACTGGATGTTTACTATATAAATTTAGATAAATATATTATACTATATAAGTATATATGCGAAGCGAAATGATCAGTACGTAAAAGCAACTATATAATCTAATCACTCAACAGTTTTATCATCTTATCATATAAATCTGTTTTGGCGATTATGCAAGAGAAACACAAACTTATCTAGAAAACTATACTGCTGAGCTCAATATTGATTAAGTTTTTAACATATGAATTCTATACTTTCTTCAGTGCTAGCATTTGACTGTCTTACATGCATGTATACTGCAGTTTATTTATAATTACCGCGAGAAGAGGAGGGGCAGAACGATGAAATATGTTATTCGGTGTTACCACGTTATTTGTTCTAGAAAGTAACACATCAAAAGCTAGTTTGCTATTTCGGGTGGTTTCAACAGGTTTAATGAATGCGTAATTTATAATATTTTTTTTTACCGTGCTGACGTTATCCGCCAAAAATAATACCCAGGTAATTCAATTATATAGCATTGCTGATTTTGGTTTGTATTAATTCGGATGAATGGGGCATGCATCAATTACAGGAATTCATGATATTCATATTTCAGGGAAATATTAATGAACAACAATAGCTATATATATCATGCAAACATGTGTTGTCTCTTTCATTAAACTTGATTTTGCGAGGCAGCTATGGCAGCCCTTTTGTGTTTAAAACGTTCGACTGTCAGTAAAATATAGTGTATGTTCGATAAATCTGAATTTGAATAGAATTTATCGAATATGTCAGAAGAGAATGCATGAGGTGATATGTATTATATAAACATAATGCAGGACATGCATGCATGTTCGTGAAAAAGATGAATTGCTGAAAGATATAAGAATGAAAGAAATAAAACATGCACGCTTCTGGACTGTAACGGTAGATATGGTCAGGCATGTATATCCATTTCCGCCATTTGATTTTTGACTATATGAATAGTTAGTTAGTTGTTAATACTGCAGTTTGACTTTCGTGACACTATGATACGATCGCTGTGTTTTGACGGAGGGGCGCGGTATTCGCACGTCCTTAAATCGAACAACACTTTATTATAGAACAAGGAAGTGCACAAGTTGTTGGAGCCAAATTATTACTTAATTTATCATTATTTTTTATGACGGCGTTATATAAGTGTGATCAATAACAATTTAATAAAACACTTCTTTAATCGGATGTGATAAAAATAATTTTATATAACTCTCCGGTTCCACTAAGCTAGATAAAAGATAAACTCGTCAGCAGGCGACCATTTCCATGATCACGGTGATCATGGTGATTATGGTTTCAGATACGTAGTTGCAGTTCACAGTTCCCAAACGAATTGTCCCTTTGCTCAATATTATCACTAGTGCATAGATTCAAATCCGGCCTTTTCACAAAATTTGCGGATTCGGAATTTTCAGCGACGACTTATATACTGCAAGCATGATCAAATATGGCCACACTTTTATTCGGCACTTGCCCTTTGGCTGAATAAACCAATAAACGCCCTGTATATACGTCATAAGTATTTTCACCTGAATTCTCATAAGAATTTTTGTCGTGAACATAGCAAGATTTTTAAAACCTATTATTCTGTATATCTAGGTTTATCTCTACTTAATTTAGGCTGTGATTATTGGTGGAACTTTTCATATGTTTTCGTATATTTCCACTTGTACTCGGTTCTGTCCATATAAATGCATGGGTCCTTTTTGCCAGCTCTTCTGTCGCAATTCAACTTATTGTATGTACATTCGTTTCAGCTAATCACGCCGAAGTTTCCTGCTGTTGTCAAAGTAGGTCACGCAAATTCTGGCTACGGAAAGGTAAGACTTTGCATGCTGTCTTTCCTTTTCACGCGTGCAACGAGAATATTGTCCGTCTATAAACGGCATTCCATTACCATTCCTATGTCCCGAAAGAAGTTTTTGTAAAGATAAATGCTGTATTTTTATATAAAGATAAATCGTGCATGAGTGAACCACAACTTCATTGACATATATATGTTAGCATGCCGTAATACAACTTAGGGGCTGTTTACATGAGCCCGGTTACCCGAGATTCAACGAAGCGTGAGATGCTTTTGAGGTATTGAAATGAGCAGATAACATGATCCTGGCAGTCGTATAATCACATTATATAATAAATACGGTTAGGTTTTGGCCATGCCACATAGATATATTGCATGGTTAACTCGAATAACAACCGGCACTATATTCTATAATGATTTAATTTTCACATGCATGTTTCTATATATACCCGGCGAGGTGGCAAATTGGAATGTCATACTTAATTTAAAATCTATTTTGTAAAATGGTTTAATGTTACCTTGGTATCAGTTAGTTACATGGCCGATTTCCGATACGCATGTCAATGGCTTTGATATTATATAGATTATTTGTTTTCTCATGTATACTTTTCTATTCAGTGTGAGTGCATGTCAGAAATAGAAATAGCTATATATGTGTGGGAAAAGAAGTTTAGAACAGTTCTAAAAATGTTGAAAAAAATTAAAAACTTGGTTTACGGAGGATTATATGAGTTTTTATATAATCTTATTATCGTGTTTCCTGCGCCCACTCGTTCGGTATTATTCTGAACACTCGAACTGATAAATGCCATATTTCCAAGCATCCATGCATGTATTAATCTCGCTATATATGTATATATATATACAGGGTGTATAAAAAAAACGCAACCACTTAATATTCTAAAATTCATATTGTTCATAAGCTCAATAGATTTTATGCCCCTGGGATTTTAAAATGGCTTCTAATCGTACAGTTCAACTGCTAATAGTCAAATCAGCTAAACTAATAATGGTGCAGCTAACAACCGAACAACGAGTTTTTATTGTCGTGCATGATAACTTGAATGCTAACTGTCGACCTTGTAAAATAAATTGTAAATAAAATTTTACTCGTTAGATACTTTCAATTCAGCTCGTTGGTTTACCCACCCGACTTTGTTTACCGACGATTGTGCCGCTAGAATATGATTACAAGCTTTCTCGCATTCCAGGGGCCAAACGTCTTTTGTGTTGTAGAACAAAGAGGATATTCATGAATATTAAGTGGTTGCGTTTTTTTTGATACACCCTGTATACAGGGTGTCCCAAAAAAAACGAAAACTATTGAAATCATCCATAACAATACAATTGTTAGAGTTTGAATGCCTAAGCACTCTGTTGGGACCCACAGGTGTATTTATTAAATGTTTACCATACTCATTTTTATGCATGCATATGATGCAGTAAAATTTGCTTGTTCGCAAAAATTATATTTATTAACAATATTTACAATTTACAAATATGGATAACAATATTTAAATGTGCATCTCAAGGACCATGACCTTCGACGTGTCCCCTTTCTTTAGCAACACAAAGCATTTAGCATTTTATAAGTTGCATTAAATCCTCACGGGCTGAAATTCGTGAACACGGCATTCAAATTTTAACAATGAGTGATTTCAATAGTTTTCGTTTTTTTTGGGACACCCTGTATATATATAGGATAAAAGTTTGTCAAAACTCGGTTATGCAAGCACAATTTGGATTCTTAATACAGGAAGTTCTCAAGTGAAATATCCTGATGCAATAATAAAATATAATTATAGACAATACATATAGCATTGCACTGCTTCGCTATTGAGATGTGTGCATATTATAGCAGCAGTAGCCTGGATGTCGCTATGTCCTAAATCTATTTTGTCAACGAATATATGTTTGTTTCAGTGAAAATCGTCTTCCTCTTTCAGTTTTCATACTTATATAGCGCGTTTGATTAGAGTTAGCTATCACCGTATATTTTGAGTTGTTCGGGTGAAACATTGCGTGACCGCGGAGAATTTAAAAAGCAGAGAAATTAAACCGCATCCGCTCTGTCTTAGGAAAAAACCCGAGGGTAATTGGCCGATTACCAATGCAACCTAGTCTAAAGTTTAGGGTTTTTTTCCTTATGACTCGATAAAGTACAATGATATATGTACATGTACTCATGTTACAACAACGTTACGCTAAAAAAACGTACTAATTCAGATTTCTTTTGGACGTCGCAGTTCAGTCCCGTTCGCGACAACTGAGACAAAAATACATAGATATAATTAAGTGGTAATAGAGATTATAGTACGCGGTTTATCATATATGGCATTATGGCTCATGTCTTGCTTTCAACTCGACCGAAATGCAATGTCTATAAACAATTAAATCCCATGCATGTTTAAACTATAACGAACATAATGTAGCCGTAGGCTAGGCCTATTCATAAGCCCGCTGCACTATATGCTCGATTTGATTGATTGGCACGGCACGGCTAAAATGGGTACCCGTGCCCATTTTAGTGTGAACGGGGCTTAAGTTTACAAGATGTTTACAAATTCTGCGGAGTTTGTATGTATTTAACCTCTTTTGTCTTCTAGGTGTGTGTACAAAATCACCGTGGATTCCAAGATATTTCGAGTATCGTGGCTGTCGCTGACACATACGCTACAACAGAACCTTTCATTGAAGGAACATATGACATACGAATTCAGAAGATTGGAGAAAGTTACAGAGTATTCAAGTAAGCAATTTTTCATCAAGTCATTAATGCATGTTTGCAAGCCATTAATGCATGTTTTCGCTTGGTGTTTAGAATCCAAAACCCAGAATCCCTCTTTTTCTTCCAAGGGAATCCTGTACCGTGCAAACGAGCTCTTTATATAGAGTAAATAGGTTTGAAACCACTATATCGATTAAAAAGGCTAAAAGCACTCAGAATTCAATTGATTCATAAAAATGACTCCAAAGTGACACACTCTTACTATTAGCATACTACTATTACTTTTAATCTTTAATTGATATGCGGCAACATTTTTTAAAAGACAGACCGAGAATTTGAAGCCAATGAAAATAAGACAAGATAAATTCAACATTATTCCAGGTAAAAGGTAACCCTATTCCTCTTCTGCATTAAGTAAGTAAGTATCTGATGCATTTTTAGGAGAAAATCGCTTTCTGATAACTGGAAAACGAACATGGGTTCTGCAGTGGTCGAAGAAATACAACTTACCGAACGGTATGCTCACATCATAGTATTTTGAAATCATTGCATTTTCCATTCAGCAACCTATATCTTTACGTGTAAAATATTTTACTAAATATAGCCACACTATACATGCATTACACTGTTGTTAGTTTATATGCTATGGATCTGTATACTGATCCGTAAAGCAAGATCGTATAGGGGTACTTGAGTATAAGACGCAGACGCGCAATGGGAGATATTAGGCATGCATGCAGAATCTTACTTCTCCAACTATTGCGAGTATCAATGAATAGCTAGGAGTGGTAGACAATGTTATAACATGCATTGATAATTTAAAATAAAAAAAACCGTTGGCGTATATAATGTTTGCCGTTAATTAACAACAATTTTCTAGTTTTATAGTTATACTTATATATTTTCAATAATTCCGTAAACTTTGTTTACCATTTTCTTAAACGGGCGGAATAAATCTGTTTATATAAGTTCATTTAGGTTTATCTGTTACGTGAATAGATATAAACTTTGGGCCGACGAGTGCGCAAAGATGTTCGGAGGTTTGGATATTCTATGTGTAGAAGTAATTCAGACTGGTGATGGAAAGGAGTACATTATTGAGGTATTTCAATCGATCAGAAATATTTTTTTGGAATAGCGCGGTATATAACTATACAGTATCACCACATTATTTTGTTACTAAGGCTATATATATGAGCAATTTTCATGAAACTTCCATGCAGAAGAGTTTAGACAAAGATTGAAAATATCGTCGCAATAATTATTACCATTTCACATTGGTGACGTGGTTGAAGGATTCGTTTTGAAATTTGGCACTCAGGCCGATATACCATACGACGAGAAAGTATGGGATAAATCAGTAATTAATGGGACTATATGATGCAAAATATTCTGCATGACTATTCTGCAAGTCCCACATGCAGGGGCGTAGGACTTAGGAGGCAGGGGGAATAGAGTTCCCCCAATAAAACGGCACTTGATTTCAATTTTTAAAACAAAATGCGTTGAAATTCAAACTGGGCGTTTGAAATTGTATGTATGTTGTAGTAACACATATACCTGTATACCTGTGCTCTGAAATGTGCCCAATATAATTGGCATTTCCCGAGGATCTAGATCAAATATATTGGCGCCTTGTAAGCGTGCCGCCTCCCCCCATTTTTCTACGCCCCCAAAGCCACGTGTAAATTCTATAGCCCCTGCCAATGTAGCAATTGCAAACATTTTAGAAAATTTCCTGGGCGCCGCCCAGGACATATATGTTACATATATGAAGCGTGTTCCTGAATAACAAACGAGAGCCGAAGGTCTTCCAGTACTACTTAAGGCCTATTTACAATACGCGATTTGTCGTATACGATTCGTACCCTGGCGTATGTAAACGTACATAAACACATGTACAAGCATGACACTTTAAATTCCAGCCTCAACAATATGAATGAAGTTTGTAGCATAGGCCTTCTTTTTCATCCGTGAGAATGATAATTGCATACAACTTATCGTGTAGTCTAAATAGGCCTTTAAAATTTTTTACATGTAGGTAAATGATACGGGAATGAAGCTGTTCAGTGAGACAAGAGACACAGACATTCAACGTATAGCAGACCTCACTATAAGCCGCCTCAAAGAAAAATATCCGTCGTCTTTGGAGAATATGAATAACAAAACCGCTTCAGAATCTCTACTGTCAGGTGAGCCGTTTTACAATTACGTGATTAATTGCCATTAGTATAATTTCAGTATTGAAAAATGACCTTTGAGCATTCTGATTGGCTCCTTCAGCAGTAACTATGAGGCAATAGTTACTGCTCAGAGCAGTCTGAGCAGTAACTATTGCTTTTCCCCCAAAAAACATGGCTGAAAATACTCAAAATCGTTTTGGAAAAATTTCGGAAGCAGAAATTGAGAACATAAATCAGTTGTATTTAAAAATAAAACTTTTTCAATACTGAAATTATACTAAAACAATTAGTCGCCTCAGGCTCGGTGATTACAAGCCAATATTCACTTCGCCTTCGGCTCAGTGAATATAGGGTTGTAATCACCTCGCCTTCGGCGACTAATTGTTAATTAGAGTATCACTCGTCATACTCTCCCAGTGCCACGAAGCAAATATTGGATAGAGGTATTCGAGGAGAGGTCCCTCGGGGAGTGAAGGGGATCACGTGAAAACCTTTGCAATCTTTATTCTACACCAGTAAAAAGGTCATCAAAAAAACTTTTCCCTTGACTGATGATGGTTGACTATACATATAGAATAAAGCTGCCAGTACTTTGATTTTTCCCCTACATCCTTTATTCAAATTATAATACCCCAAGATATACTGCATGTATCTATAGTTGACAGTAGAATAATCCCAACCTCTCTACGTAACCACAGAGCATACAGAGGTTTGACTGCCGTTAATTTTGCGTACCCCTGGCTTAGCCAGTGCGCTCAAGAGAGGCCTTCTCCCCCCGGGAAATCATGCATATGGCGGCGGCTTGAACACATGTATGGAATATAAACAGCCGAGACAGAACTATCTGGAAAAATCGTATTTTTGAAAAAAACGTTGCTCAATTTTTTTCTCAAAACCAGATTTTGTTAGTTCTTATCCTTTAGAAGAGTATAGAAGAGTATAGAAGTGGGAGCGATCTGTTTATTTATATAGCGATGGCTATTTATAATGTTCGGGGGGGGATAGAGCCTCTCTCTAGCGCACTGGCTAACAACATGGCTGCTAGGAACGCATAAATAATGCAAGGTCAAACCTCTGTATGCTCTGTGACGTAAGCGACCACGTGCAATAGAGAACATTGCATGCTGTACCTTTGTCAATGTATTTGCAATAAAAAATCGAATGACTCAGTGAAGGCTTGAGGTCGTGGATCATGTATAGGCATACTTTTAATTCTCATAAGTTATTCAAATATTTTAGAAGCTTTGAAAGTGGTTGCAAACCCTACAATTAAGGAAACAAAACCTGGAAGTGATAGCACGTCGTCTTCAACAACCAAGCTTCAAGGGCATTTCAGTGGTATAATCGTTGATAATTAATTTCATGATTCAAATCTGAAATTAGACCACCTAAAAGCGTACATTCCGCCATAGGTGAGTATGGAGAAGCGCGGAGCTGATTAAAAAGTTTGAGAGCGTGCTGGACGAATTTTCACGTAATTATAGGAAGGAAATGTAAATATGAGTACATGGCCAAGCGAGCAAATCAGGATTGGGTGGGTTGTCATGTGATTTTATAACGAAAATGCCCATGCAGTCTCTCTTCAGAGCCAACGTTAACGTTTTACCATGCAGTAAGCGTTTTATTTTTGAGCATTTCTTACTGACCAATCAAATTTGGCCTAAAAGTGTAAAAACTGACCTAACAGTGTATAAATGTTTGACAAATCATTTTTACACTCAGTTTTACAATCAATTTTAATCGATTAATCAATTTTACAGTGCATGATGACAGTAAAATTTGTTCGTACGCACAAATATATTTATTATAACAATATTAAACGATCAAGCACCTCGACCTTCGTCCTCCTTCTTCTAGCAACACAAGGTAACATATCATTCACTGCCCTTTTTTCGTATTTAACGTTTAATACGTTGCACTTAAGGCACCCTGTTCACTGCACTGCAGCCCTGCATGACTGCATTTATTGCATGATATTATAGTAAAATATATAATGCGAATTTAATGAGATTCATTAAATTGTATTTTTATCAGTGCTTTATACTACATGCACTTTGCGTAGAAAGAAATCAGAATTGAAAGTTGTAGTTTATTTTGCATTAATTTGTTGTCAAAAATAGTTTAATATGTATAATGTAAGAGGTTTGAAAGAAAATAAATAATTTTTTCCTACCTTAAACATAATTAGCACATATAACATCCGTTGATCAAAGATTTTGATTATAAATAGTGTATGCAAACCGATTATATTTACATCATTATTATAGCTACTATATACCCAGCACGAATTTTTAACACACAATCATTTTACACGCTATTACTTTTTCGCGAGTTAAAACTCAAAATTACAAGATATCAACTTCTCGTTTTGATTTTTTCGAATTTTTTTTGAATTTTACTTCAATGAGCTTTTGAACAGCATGCACAACCGCGGGCCAACCATTTTATGTTATCACCAAGTATTTACATTATCTATACAATTGTGAATAACGTGGTAGCGTTGGTATGCTTGAGTTTGAGCGATACACATGCTTCACCAAACCATCAGCGTCACACAGTTGTTCCAAGTAATGAGCACGCCATATCATATAGCAAGCCTCCCTCCTGAGCTCAGCAGCCTCATTCAGTATCTCTTCCACATATTCCATTTCGTGATCAATTCTCATCTTACACGTGAAACACGTGCTCGGCAAATCACAATCGCTTCTCTCACTGCTGCGCCGTGTCTGCGTACAACTGTCGACCATTTTGTATCTGGGCGGCGGCCCCAAATCGTTTTTGTGGTTCCTTCCAGGTTTTTTGGTTGGGGTTTTGTGGGACGGATTGGAATTCGGACGTTTCTCAGTATACAATGAGGGATCATGTATGATCTTGCCCCCAAGATGCTCATCACTCCAATGCACGCTTTTTGTTTTCTTTGGCATTCCAATTTCTTGTTTGGAATCTCCTTTTCTCTGCCTTGGTTCTTCACGAAATCTTGTCTCACCACGTTTAGAACCAGTCTTCGAAGGAGCAGGTGCGCCTACCTGGAGTAACAATTTCACCAGCCGTTGTTTCTCTGCGAGAACCTGTGTTAACTTTTCCGAAACCTTGGGCATACTTGCGTTATACAGTCTGTTAGATAAAGTGATAAATTCATTACTAAGCTCACGGAATCGTTTCAAGGATTGCCTCGAATCACTTTGGTGCTCATTTTGAAATGGGTGCTTGTTGTCGTTGTTCTTTGAAAAATTTTTGTCAGTATTTTCAGCTTTTGGTCCATTTCCACGCTTTTCCTTTCCCGCATTCTGCGTCTTCGAGCTATAGTTTTCACCATATTTGCCTCTTTCATTCTCACAATCTTTTCGTTTTACTTCAGTTATTTCAGGTTGCAATATTTCGTTATCTGGTTTGTCCGTTCCAAAGAACTCCTTTGCAAATTCTTCTATGAGAATATCGTCATTTGTTTTTGCATGACCGTTTGAATTGTCCTTTCTCGACGTCATCTAGAATGATTATTGTACTAAAAAGTAAATAACACTATAACTAGAATAGAAATTTGAATAGAATGGACAAGTACTCACAAATATAGTGAATCTAGGGACACTGGAAGACGGGGGGGGGAGCAAAGACAGCTGCCCCATTGCCTTTTACCAGCACAGCCCAGGCAAGGAGAACCAAGATGCCCTTTCATTTTTTATTTTTTCTCAGACACCGAAATTATTGGAAATTGAAAACACGCTAAAAATAGTTCCACGGACGAGGGGGACCATATTCATGTATTCTGCTTTGCTTGGCTATAACTTCTTTTGAAGACAACTTCACTTTCAATAGAAATCTGCCTGGTATAACAGAATATATGAATATGGTCCCCCCATGCAATTAAAGTTCGATGGACGCAAATGCAGAAGATATGTTTTGCAAACGTTCTTTTGTATGCGCTACTATACCAAGTATACTTTTACGAAAATCTGCCCCCTTTTGCCTTCGCATCATTCTGGCGTCACTGCCAATATATATACTCGTTCTTTCGTCTTTTTTTAGTATATGCAACTCTCGAAAACATCGTGGCTTCTTGGCACGATGAAAGTTTGACTGATGTCTCCATCAGCCAACGCTATAAGCGAATTATTTAAGATATTTTTTCTTTGCATGAAAATGCTTCCCCATGCTTCAGTTAGCTGAATAACAGTGAGTAATTAATTACAGGGCAGTTCTATTATATACCTCAATGGACAGTATAAAAAATGTACTCATGTAGTCCGATATAGATCATATAATGATATAGATAGAGATTGCTGCATGAAAACATTATTTTATGACCTCAACGGGTCCCTTAAACAATGAGAATCAGTATGAAACAAATGAAACATCGATTACGTCGTTTTCACTGCGTATATAGTTAACGAAGAAGCCATGCAATTAATTTGTTACATATTAATCATTAATTAGTTTATTAAGGTACTTTACATGACGCATATTTTAGGGCTATCATTGCACTGGTTAAACAACTATGGACTATAGGCACGTTAACGGATAGAAAACTTCGCAGAAAAGCATAACGTTGTGCACCTTCAAACTGCACCTATGCAAACTATGATTGCATTCGTTATTCGGCATGCAAAATTACAACACCTGTAGGTCATTTCCCATTGCTTTAATTAACTGTCATATATGATCAAAATGTAAATACCCGATTCAATTCTAAGGTAAACCAGAAAACTATCGCATTTCCTACCTTTTTGCTTCGTGTCAATGTATGACACTTTCACTTGTTGCTTGGCATGTATTACTTAATTTATATCGCTATCTATATAAAAGACAGTATGCGATACCAATATTGATATGCAGTTATTCTCTAAAATACATCAACTCCAATTTGCACGATGACGATGATAATGATGATCGGTTGAGAACTGTAGCTACAGCATAATTCCTTTCACATTTATACGCCGAACTGGTTTGGCGTTGTTTTGCGGTTTGAAGATGTCGCTATAATACGACTTAATAAGAGTACCTGCAGTTACCTGCTCATCAAGTGCCAAAATTAAAGAAGTTACATACGTTTTGGGGGTATATAGCAAAACAGGTGGAAATTTTAAAGGTATATCCGGTTATATATATCAGTGGGAAGAGAAAGCACTTCGGCTAAGAACTCGTCACGTTAAGGGTATTCAAAGATGCGAAAGGAACACCAGAAAAACCGTGGGAAAGGAACACCAGAAAAATATAACTATAATAATGATACGATAGCTATAATAATGGAAAGTACGTTACAGAAATAATGAAAAGTACGTTACAAGGCTACTTTTTTGTGTTTAGTTATTGGTATATGTTGATTTTGTCGCAATATGATGTCAGCATTATTCATGCATCTTTTCAGTCAAACCGAAATGGTTTCATACCTAAAATTTTGTTTTTTTTAAATATTTGTTCAGAACAAAGAAAGTTTGTATGAACCTGCTAAAATCTACAGATTGGCAGTTAATCGTCCTGGCTCTGTGGCTGCAAAAATCGCGGAACTGGGAAGGGATAGCGAGGGCAGCTTCCTCATGCATAGTTGCCGGAATTGGGGTTCCTAGACGTAAAACAATCTGCTTTTGACCAGCGCTAGAAATAACACTATCGTCTCGCTAAACCTTCACCCCGACACTGAGATTTTCTAACAAAAAGCGAACACAATGAGACGAAGCACAAAGGCGGATGCTTTGAAAATAATCTCCAAAATGTGTCGATGCAAAACCTGCCCTCTGTGGTCGTATTTCCCCGCACTGCAGAACAGCGGAAGATTAGATATACGGTATACCGGTCAGAGGTATGCACCCACCGGAAGATGCGTTCAGCAACAAACGTCAAAATCGCCACGCCAAATGTTGAAATGTGTTTATTTTTGTAGTTTCGTTGTCTTGGGTATAAAACTTGTTGATCATGAGAGCATTGTTACGACTAAAAGTCGACTTAACAACTCCGTGAGGCATCCCGGCAAGTCAGCGTCGTTATCAAATGTAATGTCTGATGCTTTCGAATGGGCCAAGTACAAGCACTAGCCGTCAGTCGTGGAAAGAATGCAGCAGAACCACGTTCTTTCCCGAATCTGGCGACACTTCCACCAGAGATGGCGCACTTTGTGTTGTCATATTTAAATGCAACCGACCTATGCCTTGCAGCCTGTGTGTGGCAACAGCTTGGAAATGACGATATACTATGGCAAGGGTTAGTAAAATTTTAGGTTCAAGTCCAAATTTACGGCGTTGAATATAAACAATGAATACAATTGATTTCAATTTAGTATAATCGACTCAGAGTGTTAAATGGTCAGTTTATGATTGGTATTGTCACCTCGCCTTGATCCTTGAGACTGGCTCAAGATTTTGCGTGACAATTTTTTGGTTTATTATAATTCAAAATATCTTGGGTCAATGATTAATTCTTTTTCAATGATCAATTTTTAATAAATGTATTCATGGCAATGTCAACTCTGTGCACCTGTCTATATTACAGAACTATTAGGCTTATCCTAAATATACATATCAGTAAATACGTTTTCATAGGAGGAAACAGGAAATGTGCCTAGAAAGGGCTAGTTTAGTGGTACTAAAGGCTAGTTAAGTACCACACTTTCCTTCATGTAACCGATTCTTTATAAGGACTTCTAGCAATGATACTGTCATTAGGCCTGACTTGAAAGTAGGCAAACTGCGCAACTGAGATGTCAAAAAATACTAGTAAAGTACTAGTAAAAAATACTGGTAAAAATTTAGAAGACATCAAAATTATATGCTTTATATCTCGGTTGTGTGATACAAACTTTGTACACTGGTCATCAGGTGATACCCCTACTATCTGGCTAGTGTCAGGGGTTATTTTATATGCAGCCCTTGGTGAACTTGGGCCTCTGGGAATTTTAAGTAACTGTTGGATTGGAAATACTGGTGATGGAAAATATTCCTACCTTACATTGACACTCTCCCCCAACCATCCCAAACAAGTAAAGCATCAATGCAGCAAAGTACATAACTGTATATTACTTTGTCTAGGTTATGCAAAAGCAACTGGGGATTCACATCAGCTTATTTCAGGAATTCAGTAAGTATATTATATTTATAGATACAGAAACAGCTATAGAAAAGTCTTGTACTTTATACATATATTTATACATAGTACAAATAATAAATGTTACAAATGGGACTTATCTTTACCAATACATGACTGACTAGTTATCTTTTTGTCTATTGAATATTGTGACCATTTAGAAATTATAAATAAAATTTTGTGTCTTTGCTCTAGAAAGATTATAGTTCATAGAAAATAAATTTATACTATAGTTCATAGAAAATTAAACAGCATTGATACATACTTGTATAGACCAAAGTACTGGGAAATAGGAATCTTAGCTAGTGCATGAGATTCTTGAAGGTGTATATATGAAATAAATATTGTGAAGATGCTACTCTGAGTCACCAACCGGGAAGCTGAAAAATTAGCTTGACCATGGTGGGAATCGAACCCAGACAAAGGTTGACCTTTCCTCTATTGTGTCTTTCCCCAGAAAAATAAAGCAAAAGTGAATAGAATTTTCTTAGTCAAAAGATGTTTATTAAAAAAATTATTAATTGCACAATAGAAGTCAAGGAGTAACTCTGTCTATCAAAAAGCTTTTATCAAATATTAATATCAATGAATTTTTTCCCCTTTTTAGAACAAATGCAGTTTCAAGGAGCTATACATGCTGTTGGATGAGGGAAGACTTACCTTTAATTATGACCCAGAAAAGGTGAGCTTTATACTGCTGGGTTCTTAATTACTGTATGTACTGTAAATGTGCCAGGAATAGAATTTCCAAGTAAATTGTTTTTATGACTAAACATGCGACACATTTTCTGAGGGAGTTACATAGAAATTTGATTTATGAACTCTCCTTTGCCTTTAAAGGGTCGCTTAATGGTTGCCAGCCAATTCCCTTTTACATTTGTGCATCATATGGTTTGTCTGTAATCATGCGCTCTTGCTACTCTGTTTTGCATTTTCGGTACTTTTTCTTGCATGAAAATAGCATACTGCCGTCATATAATATTATGTAATTGTATACATGCATTATTGGATTGTATACATGCATTATCGGATCCCCTACATATATGTGATAATTATTAGAGTGATTCTCTGGTCACACATGTGACAATGCTATTCTATTTTGTTACATGCAAAATATGAAGCCTGAAGAAACAGCAATGTCATGTGTGTGACCAGAGAATCACCCATGAAATGGAAACTGGAATTAAATATTATAATAACAGTTGGTTGGTCATAACACTACAGATGAGATACAACATGTACTGTACATAATTCTTATAATTTTTAGTTTATTTTATTATATTTTATTTTAGGGTATTTCATACCTAATAAGTCATAATGTTCTTGAAGATGATCCTGTTGCCATTGCAAAGTTTCTCAGCAATTCAAAGACTGACTTGCTTAAGCCAGATAAACTCTCAGAGTATCTCAAAAACAGGTGTGCTATTATTAAAAGATGGGCAAAGTACAATATTTGTCATGTGTTGTAAACGTACTGTACTGTACAATGAAATTGAAAATTGATATATGTGAGAAACCTACTTTTTCATATACTACGTACGTAACGTATAATTTGTTAATAGTTGTCATTGTTTTTTAAATTCAAGGAGAGATATCTTACAAAAAATGATTTGTCTCCAAAATTTTAGAATGCAGTCATTACCAAATGCACTCAGGTATACTATTAACTACTTTTAATTCAAGATACGTATGTTGTATGTAAGCCTGTTACATCCTGTCCCACTAAATATAGATTTGTAATAAGACGAATGTTGCTACAATAAGCATGATCGATGGTCGCCCTAGCTCGCTGTCATTTTAAAATTTTTATTTCTGCTTCATTGGTTACGCTATTTGATTGATGAAAAATTGAATATTTATTTTGCAGACAATTCTTCAAACTAGTAAGCCCTCCAACGACAAGAGGGGAATATTTAGAAGAAATATTAAGTGGTTTTGCAGCGCAGTACCTTCGATGTAATCCTGAATGTGGCCTTCCTCAAGGTAGGAAAATAATACAGTACACCTAATGAGCGACAAATATATTCGCAAGTAGAAATACGCCTTTAATAGACTTAATGAGAAATCTAATTTTTCTTGCCTCACCTTTTTTCCCAAGTAAATCGTCGTTAGAATTGGATAGACTGTGCACGTGTACTATTTTTTACTGTAAAAAAGAGGAATTCTCCTGCTCAGAACCTTATTTTACGCTATTTTATAAAGATTATGGAATGAGCCGGTTCACCTCGACTTTGTATTACGAGTATTCGTATTGAAGAGTGGTAACTGTTTATTCAACTGTGATTTATTCGTTTTTCTCCCGATTTTAACTTCCGCATGCGCATACATGTATCTTGAGAATCTAAAAAATCCATTGTACAATTGCCAGACAACTTAGGATTCGCTCTGCATCTATACTGGGCATAAATATCCGAGTTGCGTTAGTACATACACTTCCTCTCCCACGCTGCTTTATTCTATTTCCCAGGGATGATTGAGAGGCTAATAAAACTATGTGGCTTTTACATAAACAGAAACCACTAAAATGGAGGGCAACGAAAATCAGAGAGGTCATTAATTGTGGCCGATTTTCTAATCAGTTTTACGGTTTTTATCCATGCATGTTCCATTCCCATAAGGTATAATGGAAACGATACACGATGCGAAAATAAAAAAAACAGTGTGCAGTATATTATGTATAGTACTGCATTATTGTGAAATTATTGAAAGGAAAATGCATCAGAAAGTTTCACGAATGAGACTTTGATATTCGTGCAACATTCCTATATAACTAGAATTACAAAGATGCAGAATCCCTTCGCCTTTTGAAACCAAAATAATAATTTCTTAAGCTAGCCAAACCTACAGTGAAACTTACTGTATAAAATGACTAAGATAAGTCGATATCTATTTGATTCAAAATAGTCAAGTACATAAACATCGCCCGGTTTTGAAGCTGGCAGTTTAAGTGACTGTTAAAAATTCAACCCTTATAAAACATCAAAATGGCTCAAAATCTTAAAACATGATATTGGTACAAAAGGTCTGAACGTCAAATGTTATTTTTGAATATTTATGCTGTCGACCTTACGCGCTTTGAAGTAACATTTGTTTTATTAAAATTCAAATTCAAACTTTCAAATAGGTGTTCTAAATCTAATATAACTATGGACAATATATGTTAGCTATGCAATATATGCTATCAAGTCGTATATCGGCTATATCGAGTCGTATATCGGCTGATAGCCGACGAGGCGCGTAGCGCCGAGTTGGCTATCGGCCATATACGACGAGAGTGAGTTTTATTATATACACAAACTTTGTCGCCCTTTCGGTGCATTTTGGTGTGCTATTATCAACTAGGCTTGGATTTCTATTTCACTCAACTCCCCAAATCTTTCCGCCATTTTGTTTACTTTCTCTACTAGACAGATATGAGCTAATATCTGTCTAGTAGCCGACCAATGAAATTGCAGCATACCTCATATCTGGCGCTTGTGTATATAATAAATAGCAATATATGTTATCTAATAGCTATAGCCATCGTGTCTTTGCAAAAAGACATACCAAACTAATAATTGCATATACTGATTGCATCCTTACAACAAAAACGGAATACTGTAAACAAAATCGACACCTAGTTGTCTGAAACGTTGCAGAGCTAATAGTTTTTAAATTGTTCCTTTTCCACCGCTCAGTCTTTAACTGTATCCGTGTTTCCCTAATAATTTTCTCCCATGAAGTATTGTATAATTCTCATAAACATGTATACATTAAAAAACAGATCCGATTATGCATGTAAGGCAATCTATCATTCTTTATATTTAGAAACGGTGTACATCCTGTGTTATTCCTTAATTCTACTATGCGTGGATCTCTATAGTCCTCAGGTGAAACGCAAAATGTCAAAACGAGAGTTCATTAAAAATTTACGAGGTCTTGCCCTTGGTGCATGCGATGATTTTATTGGAGATTTGTACGATGACATTTATATACAAGGACATATTGCCAAGCCATTGGATAAAGTGTACATAAGAGCTCCGATGTTTCGGTATGAACGTCCTTATGGTAATATTTTTGTTCAAGCCTAATTGCTTGCATCAAGCTCCATGCCTTATAGGCGTGGTTAGCTTGTATAGCCAAATAGTTTTTTAGATCCAGTTAACCCAGCTAAATAATCTTTCCTCCTTTACATTCTGGTATATCTTCTCAGTGCTTGCTGTATGATGCGTGCATATAACTAGTATGTGCATGTACAGTGTATATATATATATATATATATATATATATATATATATATATACATATATATATATATATATATATATATATATATATATATATACACTGTATATTTAATTATTAAAAAAATGTAAAAATAAAGAAAGTATAACTATATAATTCCTATTAAATTATATATAAATGCAAAGAGTGATTTCCAGTTATAAATCTGCTCTAACTTTAAATCCTAGTTAACTTTAAAGGCATTTTACATCATTTAACGTTAATGTCTTTTTAATTGCATGGAATGATCTAGAATATCGAACGCCAGATAGAACAGATCATGTAGGGCACGAATAACAGTATTACTATTGTCAAAAGCTTGAGGGATATCATTTTAAATCCTCAATAACGCTGTTTCAGTACTATATGACAAGGTTCATAAGCAGACTGGAATTTCTCATGCAGATGATTCTCTGTGAAATAATCCCTTAATTGTATAGCGACTGCTTTCTCAATCCATTGTCAACGAAGAATCTGCCATTATGCTGAGACTACACAACCTCAAGCGAGTTCGTCTACATCTTCTTCCAGTAAGTTTGCTGGCTAACCACGAAGAAGTAAATTTGGTGTGATTACAGGCTGTTCGAATTCTTCACCTTGGTAGCAGAGTGGGCGGTTGTTCATAAGGCATTCAACATCCAGCAGAACTTCTTCAAGCTCGGGGAACGTTAACATCGCTGGACCAATTACTTTAGCCAAACTGGATTTCATTATCCCGACAAGCCTCTCGAAAAAGCCACCCCACCAAGGGGCTCTAGACAAATTAAATTGCCAAGTTATCCTCTGCGTCGTTAGGTAGTTAAACAAATCCGTATCCTTAGTAAGACTGTCTAGCCACTGTTTGGTCGCTTTGAAGGTTAACGCATTATCACTCAAGATCTTTTTTGGTGTACCGCGTCTAGCCACGAACTCTTTAAATCCTTTCTTGAATTCGTCAGCGTCCATGCTCTTGCTCAACTTCAGATGAACCGCTCTTGTCGTAGAGCAGGTGTAAAGAGCAACGTAGGCCTTGCGCGTTGACTTTCGGTTATCTCTGTAGAGAAGGGACCAGCGAAGTCCACTCCGGTCATTGCGAACGGCTCTGTCATCACGGTCCGAAACGTTGGTAAAGACGCCGTTGTCGGCTGCTTCAACGCTTTTGGTCGGGCTTGCTTGCAAGTGTTGCAGCTGTTCACGACACCTTTCACCAATCTTCGCAACCTTGGTACCCAAAATCGTTCCCTTGTTTTTGCTATTCTTGAGCTTACTCCCCCGTGACAGGTTTGCTCATGAATCTCATGCACCAATAGTCGGTCCAACGGGCAGCTTCTCGGAAGAAAGATCGGGTTGTATCCAGGTATGCGTCCGTCAACTCTCAGCACGCCGTTGTCGTGCTTGTAAAGAGTACAACCTCCGTCATTCTTCACGCTTTCTTGGACGATTTTCACCCAAGTAAGTTCGGCTCGTTCAATTTCTTCCTTGGCTAACGGGCCGTGGAGCTTTTGTGAATTTTTCCTCGCATTCCTCGTGAAACGGAAGATATAGGCTGTCACTCGTAGTAACTTTCGATACTTGAACTTCGTTGACATGTAGTTGATCATCTGTGCATCTCGTTCGATCGCTTGTTTAACCGGGGTTTGTTTGGCTGTCATCTCTTGGGAAATCTCTGTCGTTTCCATTATCTCTGGTTGCTATGGTCACAATTCATGTTTGGAAAGCCACTCAGGACCCTTGAACCACATATCTGTTAGCTTACTTGGTGTTGTTCCCCTGTTTCCTACGTCGCTAGGGTTGCTGTTGGTTGGAACGTAATGCCAGGTTGCATTCGTTAACTCCTTGATTTTCTTGACATGATTTCTTACAAACACCGACCATGTCCCATTGTTTGCAAGCTAATAGAGCACCGTCACACTATCTACCCAATTATAGACTGCACAAATGGATTGTTGTTCCAAAGTCTTCATTACATTGTTTAATAACTTGGCCAAGGTCATAGCTGCGGTCATTTCTAGTCTTGGAATGCTTTTCTCCTTTGGAGCAACTCTCGACTTCGCCACGAGCAAGGTTTGATTGACTGCTGTCGATCCTTGGTACTCAACCGTGTAAATTGCTGCACACACAGCCGCCTTACTGGCATCTGAAAATCCGTGAATCTCAAATTGACTATCACTTCTTAACCTTACGCTTCGGGGCACGGAGATCAATCTATGCTGTCTCAATCCGCGGATCCACGAATGCCACTTTCGTTTAATGTCAGGTGGTAATATCTCGTCCTAATGCAGCTTAAGAAGACACACACTGCTGAAGATCAATTTGGCAATGATCATCACTGGAGAAGACCATCCCAGAACGTCGTACACGCCGTTGATTGCTGCGACCATCTTTTGCTTCGTTACCGGTTCTCTCACATTTATGCACGCTCAAACGATACCGCCATAGTGTCTGTAGCCTTGTCCCAAGGTATTCCCAGGATCTTCGTTTGATTTGTGTCACCACTACCGGATAACGTTTTCGCGTATGTCTCTTCCTCCTCTTTCATACTGACACTGATTCGACGGATGACACGTTGTTATGCCACTTATGCAATTGAAAGCCGGCCGCCGCCATGATCGTCGTTGATTCTTCCTTAAACTTTGTCACTAGACTCTCTGAATCGCCTCCTCCTTGTATATCATCAACGTACGTGTCCTCTTTTAATACTCGCTCTGTTTCTGGGTGCATGTTCACGTATCCTTCCAAGTGCTTTTCCATGGTTGCTCCGAGAATATGCGGGCTCGAAGTGGCTCCAAAAATAACTCGCGTAAACCTGAACTCGATTATATTCCGGTTCGTCAAGTCGTCATACCACAGTATCCGTTGTGCGTCACGATCGTTTTGCTTAACGATGATTTGAAGAAAGGCTTTCGTCGCATCACCAGTGATACACAAAATTAGGAAGCGATTGCGGAGGAGTATATCTAAGAGGAGTGGTTGCAATGATGGCCCAGTCTCCAAACAATCGCTTAGGCAGGGCGCATCCACATTTGGTTTTGAAGAACAGTCGTAGACAATGCTTTCTGTACCAGGACTTCTCGAACAGGTCCCAGCTTATCCATAAGGGTATATAAACTGTTGATTGGGTAGATTCTAACTTATCCATGGTAGAGAGTGTTCTTACAGTTCTTGACAGCATGTTGTGGAAGTAATGGATCGATTCAAGGTTGTGAATGCTCTTTATTGCATGCAGTGTCTCCAGATCTTTAATCAATGCCTTTACCATAAGTCTCGGTAAGTATGCGTTTTGCTTCATTGTAATCGTCAATTGAGTGTGGTAAAATTCATGATGTCGTCTCGAGGTTTGCCCTTGACGAACTCTATTAAGTAGTGAAGTTTTCTAATTTCGGAAAGATTTGACTCATCAACTCATCAACGGATTCCAAAAACGGAGCCAATCTTTGTAATCTCTAGAAAAAGGCGTGATGGTATATCTTTGCAGCTTCACCGTCGATGTTGATTTTTTAAAAGCATCATTTCCTTCACCAGTGTTCTCATTTAACTTCTGCAGGTATAGCTTTCTCCGTATCCATTCTTCCTCTGCCTGATGTTGTTTCATGATTGACGCTTCTGTTTCCATTTGGTATTTTTCTCGTAATTTCGCTTTTTCAATGCTCAACCGCTTCTGTTCCTCGAGTTCTATTCGCAACTGTTGTTCACGCCTATGTTTTTGTAATTCCTCAAAATGTGCTTTGCATTGATCCCTTTCTTTCCGAAATTGTGTAATACAGTCCTTTTGTGCCATCGACCACTCTTTTATGTGATCCACATCTCTGTCGCTATCCATTAAATATTGTAAAGTTTGATCCTTTGATGCTTCCAGTCGCTTTATCGATTGTGTTATTTTCTCGTGGGCAAGGGCCACATCTTCCAAATTATCGGCGCCTCTTTGTTAGCTTCTGCAAGCTTGAGTTTTTCCAAGGTAATACATTTGTCGTGTTTGGCTTCGCGGTCCATGTTTGTTTACTAACAACCCAAGTTGTAATGTCCGCTTTGCAAATTTGTATTGTTTCGTACTTTAATTACCATTTAGCGCAATATTTATAAGTCCTGTACCCTCTAGCGCAATATGGCGCCGCTGTAATAATGTTTCGTATTGTTTCCTTTCACATTTCACGTCGATATATTTCAACGATATACATCCCGAATGTCGCATGTACTATATAATCTTGGTCCAACACTAACCTTCTGTATATCAGTCGATCGAAACGCTTTTTCTTATCCAGCTAAAGTTGTATGATATCACGTATTAAAACACCGTCTGATTTTGCTCGGAATTTTGTCCCGAGCTTCCTTGAATATCCAATCCTTATTTCGCGTATTTGCTACATCCTGCCGGGGTCGCCACCTTCAGTGTGGGGAATGGTCCCAGAGACACTGAATAATTCACACCTGATCGCTACGCTTTGTTAAAAAAATTTATAAATATAATAATATACAAAAGGTTTTCTTCTATGAGCTCGCTCGCTCGCGGCTCGCTCCGTGTTCAAAAGACAAAACCACATGTTATTGTTTTATTCCATAAATTAACATAATCAACTATAAATGTCAATCCCAGTTCTCGCGCTGTCTCACAGTTTCTAACATTAGTTATAAAGTAGGTAACCATGCTCTAAAATCCAGAAGGATCTCGGTCTTCCTAGTGACGTGGAACCGCGGTTGGAAAGGCCTACAGAATGCTCGGTTTGTTGAAGAGGAAGACAAAGTCCTCATATCGACTACACCAGTGAAGTATGGTCTGGACAAGGTATCGAGCAGATGAGTGACATCGAGGGAGTTCAAAGACATGCAACCTCCAATATTCTCGGCACACCCAGGTTCTCTGTTCCATACAATGAACACCGGTCCGTTCCCGGTCCGTAAGTTCCCCGATTTAGAACCACATGTTTCAAAAATAGTTACTTTATTCGCTCCGCAAGATTCTGAAACAGTTTACCAAAGCAACTGTGAAGCAAGTTCCTGCATGCATATATCACCTTCACACTAAAATAGCGCTAATTCCTGTTTATATCACTATCCACCTACAATACCTCTCTGCATGACACCTACAACACTGATATCAAACACATTGTTGTTAAAGCTGAACCGTTAGCTGAGCCGTCCGTTATTTAGTTGTAACGTCCGTCTGTTATAAAGGTTAAGGACCTAAGCTAGATTATAACCCTGTCGTCACTAGCAAAATTTTGCCGAATATTATTAACGAAACGAACGCCGTCCCATATTAATCATTTTTGCAATGCTTCTTGTACTGGAAATATAATGAGAAATTCAACTTTGATAAAAATGGTAATAGAGAAATAATAGTATCTCTGTTTGGAAGGGTGTATCGCATAATTTTAGGGATGACAATTGGTATACGAAGCGTTACCTGAAATTGCTAAAGAGATGATTGCTACAATAGTGAAGATGATGAATGAGACTGAAAAGGTATGAAGCTCTAATGGATGAATTTTCCCTAAACGCTAACCTCTGGTATAACCAATCTAAAGATGAAGTAAGCGGCGAAGAAGATTTAGGTGAAGGTGATTACGCAAGGTAGTTACAGCAGGTTTTATGCCTATTGGGTATGTGTGTTCTCGTAAACGAACCATGTTCAGGTGAAAAAATCAAATCTTGATCCATCATCAAATCTATATATATATATATATATATATATATATTATAATATATATATATTATATATATATATATATTATATATATAATATATATATAATATATATATATATATATATATATATATATATATATATATATATGTATATTTAAATGGTTTACGATCGTTACTGGCGATGCAGTTTGCAGTGGATTGTATTAATTCAAACGACACCATTCTGCCAAACATTACTTTAACATTACAGCATTCGATTCATGTCTGAATGGCATTATGGCATTGAAATGCACTCTTGAGAGTTGAGTGTTTTGTTTTAAAAAATATGTGGGAAAACTGAGTAAATATCCAATTGTCGGTTGGACCACCTAATTATAAGAGAGAAGAAGCTGTATATACCGCAAAGGTAAAGGAAATAGATTAAGAGTATATGTTTTGTTACACAAAAGCCATGCATGCATGCATGGCTTCATACTTGATAATAGATTTATAAGCTGAATTTTGGTCCCGTATTATATGCAATTATACATATTTCATAGACATATTTCATAGATTACAGATAATGGTTATACACCGTCTACACGATAAGCGATATGTCACCCAACAGAGCACGAAGGAACGCTAAGTTGAATAACGTTAGTTTTATGCATGTTATAAGATCTGTAGCCTGATAAACTGTACTGAGGAAAAAGGCAGGTATAGTGACCGCCGCAATGATGTTCGCGTGCGATGCCATATTGTATCTTACTAATGCATTGGAGCGCCGGTTTGACGCATGTCAAACATGTTTTTGCCAAAACCTCCTCATTAACTCCTCATTAACTTTGTTTTAATATTGATATACTAAAATAGCTTAACATGCCGCCCGCAAACTTATGTTTCTTGCCGAAACCGAAGACACGCCTTGATACGAACGTTTTCTCTCTAACTTTATTTTAATATTGATATACTAAAATAGCTCTCTCTATATATTCCTATAGGAAGATTCCTAGGATGAAACAGACTATCTATTATGTATTAATGTATATACCGAAGGTACCTATACGTATATTTTGTACTGTACATTATAAGCTCATTAATTCAGCTATATATTAGTCTTCATCAATTAATTATGTTGTTGTCTTGGCCATTAAACAATTATTATTGTTTGCCATTAAAATTTGCTTTTAGTCTGTATGTATATTTCTTGTATTTTTTTCTTTCGTGCAAACGTCGCAAACATTTCTCGCGTGCACACACAGGGGTTGTGGCAGACGCGAAGCTAATAATTTGCTCGTATAATTTCGCTTTTAGATTTCTTAGAAATGCTTGGCAGCATGTATTCAGATCCATGTGTATGTATCTTGATCCTCACATCGTTGTGCGTCATTCATATGTCTGAACTCCCCTCTATTCGAGTGGATAACCCAGGCAACATTACCCTTGGTGGGCTTTTCTCCTTGTTTGAAAATAACCATGAAGGTGTCTGTGAAGGCAGAATTGTTTTGAATGGTTTGCGATCGTTACTGGCAATGCAGTTTGCAGTGGATCGTATTAATTCAAACGACACCATTCTGCCAAACATTACTATTGGCATTACAGCATTCGATTCATGTCTGAATGGCATTACAGCATTGAAATACACTCTTGAGCATTTTGTTTTAAAGGAATATGCGGGAAAACTGAGTAAATATCCAATTGTCGGTTTAGTTGGACCACCTAAGAGTGAAGAAGCTGTATATACCGCCAAGGTAAAGGAAATAGATTAAGAGTATATGTTTTTTAATTGTTACACAAAAGCCATGCATGCATGGCTTCGTACTTGATCATTTATAGGCTGAATTTTGGTCCTAGGCTATATTATACAATTATACATATACAGGGTGTCTCAAAAAAACGAAAACGATAGAAATCACTCATTGTTAAAATTTGAATGCTGCGTTCATGAGTTTTAGCCCGTTGGGATTTAATGCAACTTATAAAATGCTAAATACGAAAAATTTGAAATTGTGAATATGATTAAATTTAAACTAGAAATACATGCATGCAGCAACCCCTCGCCATTTTAAACGAAGCAAAATACGCAAAAACGTCGAATGTTGTTTTTCGATTATTTATTTTATTCAATGATTTTAGCGACTATATAAGCTACAAAGTGATATTTCTTTTATCAAAACTCTGAAGTACACTTTTGAGAACTCTTTTTAAAGTTTAAGCGATGATGTAAAGCTTTAAACGGTCGGTTAGCTCCTTGTATAAAAAAACGACATACCAAGCTCGTACTTGTCAAAATAACAATGCATTCTTAGAGCAAACACTGAATAAGCAAAATATAGACACCTACCACTTCAAAGATTATAAACTACGATTCGTTCCTATTTCACCAACTGTTTCTTTGCTGTGCATGATGATCTTTAAATCTTTTATTATTGTTTTAATATTTGACTCCATGATTTCATTTTAAATTTTTAAAAAATAGTTTGCAAAATGACGGTTAAAATGCTGACGCTATCATGCATGCTCTCTTTTTGTCTTAGCAATCAGCAAGTCGTAGACGACCGTTCTTTCTTCGTTCAAATTTCGCGCATGGCACAACTACCATGACCATTGAACGTCCATGACATTTGGCAACTTTGGATCCCGCTATGTTCTCCCGGGTCCCGGGTGTAATTCCTAATCTCCGGGCGGAATTAGTACCCTCGCACGGCGCTCCGCGCAGACTTGGGGACAATTACATTTTTATGGGTGATTTCAATAGTTTTCGGGTTTTTTGAGACACCCTGTAGATCACATATTTCATTAATATATGGATTTTGTCCATTCTTCGTCGTATTTTGTCCATTCCTCGTGGTTGATTTCATGTTACAATATGTAACATTTATCATTGTATTTTAGGTCTTAGATGTTTTTGAAATACCTGTCATTAGTTATAGTGCAACAAGTGAGAAATTAAGCGATAAAAAGCAATTTAAATACTTTTCTCGCACTGTACCGTCTGACGTATCTCAAGCTAAGGCCATTGTTGACTTTTTTCGATATTTCAATTGGACGTATGTGAACGCCGTGTACAGTGATGATTGGTATGGCACGTATGGGATGAAACTGTTGAGAAAGGAAGCCAAGAAACACGGTATGGTTTTACAATCCTAACATTTCACATAATTATTTTAAGGGGCGTGGGACAGTTAGGCGGTTATAATCTATCGCGTTTGTCTAGATATAGGCTTATATGGCTATTTTTGAAATAATATTCTCAACTCGACATGCATGTGTAACAATCGAGTGCAATGGACTTTATTATAGAATAGTTTATTATCTACAGTAGTCCCCCGCTAACTCGAACTCGCTTAACTCGAACTCCTCGCTAACTCGAACTAAATCCAATTCCCCTTGAATTTGACAGTGTTTTTTATAGAAATTTACTCCGCTTAACTCGAACTCGCTTAACTCGAACTCGCTTAACTCGAACTCCTCGCTAATTCGAACAAATTTTGTTTTCCCTTGGTCAAATATATCCGGTTAACTCGAACTTTGGTTTCGTAACATAGATCAGCAAAGTTTAAAATGTGAGAAGATAGCATTTTGACAACTGGAAACTATCCAAATAACAACTGAATAATTGATTGGTGTATAATTGATTTTAAATTTCAAAAGATTTTCTGTGGTGCCACGGTCGTTATTGATCTAGCTTTTTTGGTTCCTTTTGTATTCTTTCGATCTACTAGCTACTAGCTATTTCTAATGCTTCAATTATTTTAAAATCAAATGTCATTTACACCTAGAAATGTTGAAAAAAACATCCATTTTAATAATCGACTATCGACCTACTATATCATGGTAAACCGCCATATTGCCAATCGTGTTATTGAATAGTGGTAGCCGCTTTCTTAAAGAAAATTGGTAAACTCATTGAAAAAAGGCTAGAAAATTACCACAAAGAAGATTTGGATATCCAATATGTCTACTAGGAGTGTTTACGCGTGAAACGAGACACTATTGCAATAACAATAATTCGGGGCGTTCCGAACAATATCGAGTAATTCATTTGCTCAAATATTTGAAAAACTCCTAACCTCCGGTTTCGAATTGACTAATCTCTAATCCTATTGGATAATAAAATAACTAAAAATACATGCATACAGCAACCCCTCGCCATTTCAAACGAAGCAAATGTTTTTCCTCAGCTTGCCAGACCTCTATATAATTGCTGATGTTTTCACATTTTTCGGACACAAACAGAGTCGCAAAGGTGAAATGAAATCACCGTTTACCTGCTGTATTACGTTGCATGCAGTTATAGTCATATAGACTTAGCTAATACTCCACTACCTACATAGCTAAACTTTCAAAAACAGCAGAAATAATTTAAATCCCCAAAAAATAAAAAACGTCGAGTTTTGTTTTTCGATTATTGAAATCATGCAGTGATTTAGAATAAGTTGTAGAATTTTAGATTTAGGCACAGATCTAAATGAATGCAAATTGTAATATTGTCAAATCAAAATCGATTGAAATTTATGGCCTAGACTCGATACCTAACGAGGATTTTGTCAATGCAAAATCACTCGAAGTCATTCTTATAACCCTATACCTCACCTCAGCTATAGTTAAATTCCTGCTGGAGGACCTGGGTTGCATTTTTCGCAACGTCCCTGGTTTGTTCTTACATACAGTGGCGGCGCCAGATTAAAATGAGTGAGGGCGATTGAGGGGCAAATAAATGTTTTGGGGGCAAGACTAGAAAAGTATTAAAAAAGTATTACACTACTTAGATAACATGAAAAGATTTCGGGGCCCCACGTCTCCCCCCTAGCGCAGCCAGGCCTGGCACGAGGTATCATATAAAGTTTTGGAGGCTTAAAATAAAATTCTGAAGTTATATATCTATATTGATTTTATTTCGTGTCCCTTATAGGCCATCGTACGTTTATAAGAAAGCCCTTCTTCCGTTTCAATTTCCAATTTCCAACGTTTTAATTTTTCCTACCCCACCCCATACGGTCCCATTTCGTAAAATTAATGTTTTTTATATTTGCCTAAGGTATATGTTTTGCCAAAGAAATCGAACTGTCATTGAATGTCGACAAAGCTATTTATCATGAAAAAGTTGGTCAACTTTCAAATCTTACTAATACTGATGTCGTTCTGCTGTTTTGCAGTGCTCCAATAATCAAACCCCTCATTACGAAAATGGCGATTTTGATAAAAAATTTTAATAATATCCAGCTGTTATGCTCAGATGCCATAGGTTACTCTTGGCTTTTAGACTATATCTCTAGAAAAAAAACAGAATATGTTTACATCAGTATAAAAACAAATATCATCAAAGACTTCCGTGACTACTTAGAAAATTTAAGTGCCGAGAAAATGAACATGGTGCCCTGGTTTAAGCGCGTGTACCAACAAATCATGAATTGTTCTTTCAAAACTGAGAGGAAAAGGTCGCGAAGATGCCATTCAAATCAGACATTTGGAAAGACGTTATCGTCAGGATTTCCGAAAGATTCCACCACTAACGTTATAGATGCGGTGTATGTCTTCGCGCATGGCCTTCACCAAGAATTGACAGCTCGGTGCCCAAATCTCGCTAATTGTGCGCAAAACGGCAACGTATTTGGCGCGTCATTACTTAAACTAATCCGTAATTCGAGCTTTCAGAGCGCTGATGGAAGGAGAGTTTATATCGATCAAAAAGGCGATGTGACGGGAGGATATGCGTTTGAATATATCACAACTAGGAAGGATGGTACGCGGGAAAGTAAAATAATAGGTGATTGGCAGGGTCGATTGAGTCTGAACTTGAACTCGATATATAATTCTGGTTTGACCTCGGCAAAAGCGCAGTGTTCTGAACCATGTAAGAAAAACGAAATAAGACAAAGAAACCACGAAAAACCATGCTGTTGGAAATGTGTAGAATGTCAGGCTGGGTCAATTGCCCGAAACGAAACAATTTGTCATCCCTGTGGCCAGGGTTATTTGGCAAACCAAAAGAAGGCAGAGTGCGTAAAAATCCAAGATCTTTTCTATAGTTTGGACGAACGAATCTCAAATTTACTGGTTGTCCCTCCTTTGGTACTTTCTGCGTTAGGATTATTGGGTATTCTTTTCACTCTTAGCATATTCATAAGATTCCATTCCAATCCACTGATTAAAGCATCTGGGCGCGAATTGTGCTATCTTGTACTTACTGGGCTTCTCTTTTCACTCATTTTCCCGATTCTTTGTGTCTTTAGACCATCTGGCGTCAAGTGTCTCTCTCAATTCATTCTTGACAGTCTTCCGCTTACGATATCACTCGTTCCAATCCTGATGAAAACTAACCGCGTCGTTCGAATATTTGACCCTGCACGAAGAATAACGGACCAACCTTCGTTAGCAGGCTCACTACCACAACTTGTTTTATCCAACTTGTTAATCAGTTTACAAATTATCTTCTTGCTTGTGTTAGTTCTTCTGCATTTTCCCGATCAGAAATTAGTTTATTTCTCGCCAACAGAGGTGCATCTTGTTTGCAGCACAACAAATAGCCAGCTTCTTGTAGCACATCTGTATAACGTTATCTTGATAATCGCCTGCACTTACTACGGTTTTCGAGCTAGAAATATACCTAGTAATTTTAACGAAGCCAAATCCATTGCTTTTGCAATGTACGCATCGTGTGTAAGTATTGTTGTATTCTTTGTTGCATTCTTGGTTGTGGCCACTGGTAGTTCCAATAAGATAATTCAGCAGGCTTTACACTCATATCGCGTTTCGCTCTTAGCCAACGTCATTCTATTTTGCTTCTTCGCTCCTAAAATTTACATCATTCTTTTTCGACGCCAACTGATCCAAAGGCACTTATTTTCTTTCAATGGCGGGGGAACAACTGTTTGTTACTCACAAGGAAGCCAAGGCTATGTGAGGTAATTGTTGTATGATTCAATTCACAAAATGTTCCTATCCTATTTTAGTCGAAAGCGCATATATATATATATATAATTATATATATATATATATATATATATATATATATATGTACAATCAAAAAGGTTGACCCTATCAATATATATATATACAAATATATAAATGTCAATCACGTGAGCATTAAACATTGTTTAGTTCGCTCATTTTTGTCTTTTTTCTTTATTGTTATCAGTATTGTTAACCTTACTATTATATTTATGAAATTTCTAATTAACATTTTAACGGTTTCCCATAAAATTAACGTTGCAGTAAAATGCAGTAAAATCACGTGACTGATATTTACCTATTTATATATATATTTCAATATGACAACCTTTTTGATAACGACTATATATATATATATATATATATATAATATATTATATATATTATATTATATATATTTTATTTATATACCCATTTGCAAAAACGTTGGCCGCAGATAGATATATAGATAGATACTCAAAATCTAATTAAAATTGCATAAGTTGTGTAATATGATTGAAATCCCATGCAAATGTAATCATATGCAATTCTAATTAGATTTCGAGTATCTATCTATCTATCTGCGGCCAACGTTTTTGCGAATGGGTGTATATATATATAATATAATATATATATATATATATATATATATATATATATATATAATATATATATATATATATATAAATATATATATATTATATATTATAATATATATAATATATATATATTATATATATATATATATAAATATATATATATATATTATATATATATATATATATATATATATATATATATATATATATATAAATTTTCGCAAACGGATGCAAGTGCATTTTTGTTACCTTGTAGAAACAGTAGAACGTCTGAAATTGAGGCACCAAAGACAATCCAAAGATCACAAGTTCCTACAGAAATGCCTATCTGCAGAAAACGACAAGGTATATTATATTTCTATTTTGACGCATGTCATCTCCTGAGAATATAGAGAGTATAGAAGACCCCCAAAATCTCTGTCAACTCTCTATAAAAATTATATCAAATGCATGTTTCTTATCTTTTTAGATTGGAAACGCTGGACAATCTAGGCAACATCATGAAGCCTAGTTCATACGTCGCATTTTGGTCGCGTCGAATGCAATTCAAACATAGGTAATGAGATAGTAAATCTTATTCAGCCTCATTATCATGTCATTATCTGCTGTTTAATTGCATTTGACGCGACCAAAATGCGACGTATGAACTAGGCCTAACGCACACGAATTGGTACCAATGCATGGTAATTGCCATGAGTATCATGCTGCGTTTTTCAATTTATCTGCCGATAAGAACGGTCTGATGGATGCAAGCTAAACGACCTTACTGTTGGTACCATTCGTACGAATGGAAATTGCCTTTTTCCATCCGTAGACATTCGAGTATGACACCGTATCATAGAAATAATGGACAGTCTATTATGTCTATTATTTTTATGCACCGTATGCTTCGCAATACTAAACTTACAGCCTATAGTTATAGATTGAACGGGAAGTTAAAACAATGACACCATATACTGTAAATATTCGAATAAACACTGGCTTCGAAGAAACACCGCATGGAAAATTCATGAATTTCTTCTTTTCTGCATGTAAAGCTTTGTTTAGTGCCTGCAATTCTTCGTAAATAGGCGGTTTTGGAACCACAAAATCTGTGTTAATTAAGGCCTATTTAGACTACACGATAAGTTGTATGCAATTATCATTCTGACGAATGCAAAAGAGGACCTATGCCACAATTTTCATTCAATTTAGTTCGGAGTGGAATTTAAAGTGTCACGTTTGTACGTGTGTTCATACGTTCACATGCGCCAGGATACGAATCGTATACGAAAAATCGCATAGTGTAAATGGGCCTTCACATAATTGCACCATTATGTCAAGCACAAAAGGACTAATAAACAAATGTAGTATTTCATGCCTATAATATATTTTATTGTTATTTCGAATAACTTCCTCAGTTGACGTCACATAAGTTTAGTTTTTTTATGTTCCCTATCAATAATTATTTTTAATTAAAATGATCAACTTTGTGGCTCAAAGTCGATAAAGGATAGCATTTCGACCTATAAAATGTATTTCAAAAGTTCTTAAAATGCGGATTTAACCTATCTAATTACTCCATTTTTAAGACATGACATACAATTATCAGTCAGTGAGCAAATTGCATGGATTTTGTGCACAACTTAAGGGCTGTTTACATGCATGAGCCCGGTTATCCGAGATTCAACGAAGCGTGAGAGGACTTTGAGGTATTGAAACAAGTCTTTATGACACCAAACAAGCACATGCTATTGTTGTGGTGATTATCATCCTGGCCGTCGTACAATCACCACAACAATAGCATGTGCTTGTTTGGTGTCATAAAGACTTATTTCAATACCCCAAAGTCCTCTCACGCTTCGTTGAATCTCGGGTAACCGGGCTCATGTAAACAGCTCCCAAAAATACTTCCAGCTGTTTGATGCCTTAACAAATGTATTGTTTTTCACAGTCCATGCAGCTGTAAAAAAATTGACAAAAATGTCTGAATATATATAGTTTCTCAGATTTACTTTTCACGATTACACATACAATAGGTATGTATACTGCTTGAACTTTCGAGCATTCACTTTCAAACTTTTTTTGAGCTAAACAGTAAGTAACACGAATACCATCAAGGTACTATTAGTATCTTATATTTAAAGACGTTTTCAGTGACTCATTGTTCATTCCCGCCTTTTGAGTTAAACCACATGCCCCAACTTCATGGCTTGACTGTCACGTCACCTGATGGCGCCAACTACAAGAAACATTTTAGTTACCAGTTGCATGCATTGAGAATACTTTATTTTACCTATTACCGTTTCTCTTCCTTGTATGTACTATCGTTCCATTGAAACACCATCTTATTATAGGCATGCACAACCACACAATTGTGTAGATGAGTCCAATTGCATAATGATCACACTTGTGTGAGGATACTTACATTTAAGAAACAGAAAACATTTTTCGTGTTTCTATACAGTTATATAGAAACACGTTTTTCCGAGCATATTTTCCCCAGTATATTTCGAGTGTAATTCTTCCATTTAGGCCATGTTCATATGAGCCGGGCTGGCCCGCTTCGCCGGGCTGACTCGCTAGAGGCGAGATCCCGCTTCCTAAGTTTTTCTATATGTTTTTGAAATTTGATTCACATGGAAAGCGGGCCAGCCCGCTTTGGCGAGATCTCGCTTAAGCGAGGCGAGATCTCGGCAAAACGGGCTCATATGAACGCACTAGGCGGGCTAGCCCGGTAAACCGGGCTGAAAATCGTCGATCGCTTTCTTTACAAATATACCTTCATAGCATCATTTCGCCATTTTATATGTATTTGCAAACCAAAAGAACACAATACATTTCAAAAATTAACGAAATATATCTGCCCAAAACCGCTATAATCGATGCAAGCAACATTTTTCGATTTGTGAAGCGTCAACAAGTTATGTAACGCTACCGGGCTAGCCCGCCTCATGTGAATAAGAATATGAACAGGGCCTTAGTTCGAAAATATGAAGGAACTGTTTGACTAATGTTTTCCATACATTAATCAAACATAATTAAATAAACATTAATCGTACATTAATGAGCGTTAATCAACACGAACTTGTATAGCAGACTATAAAAATGACATTACACAATAAACAAATAATATGCTTATGATAATCAAATGTGGTAGGCCAGCATGCAACAACAATGTAAAATAGACAATTTTACACCATGTAACGTGAATGTTAAGACTTCCAAACTGACTAATCGATCCGATTTTACTAGTAAACTCGAGCACACGATGTAATCCACGTAATCCATACAAGTGTGATCCACATCCACACCACGATAGGGATTTATTTATCACACGCATGTTTATAATAAGTTTGAATATAACGTTCGTAACAATCCGAAGACCAACGTCCCAGTGTTTATATAAGCCAGGCCTAAGAGGGTAAGTGATGCTGCAGTTGTAGCAGCGCCAATGCGATAGCTGTGACCGGCGAAATTAGAAGCATCGAAGCCAGCTTGTGAAAGCAATTTCCGGGTTTCCGAGGCCAGTATTTGCTTCGAAAGTGATCTTCCCGAAGCATTCAGAAACAGAGGTGGATTTGTTCTTGCTGGTCTGATGGCCAAATATCGCTTCATTGCCTGAACAGGACAGAGTGGTGTGTTTGTACCACCGACTGTTATATTGTGACCTACTCGAAAAGGATCAATTTTGGATTCTTTAAGCCGAACAAACATTGTATATAGCTATTGATCGTATATTGCATTAGATTAACCTCGGAGTTGAAGGTTGCGTTGCACGAAGCTCGCCCAGCCTTAAAAGCCAAAAAATGCTAAGCTCATGGCCGCCCATAGAATAGTAGAATCAAATTTCGTTGTGGCAGATATGGCAAGCATCAGGTGAAACAGTTTTAGATGATGAATTGTTATTGGAAGGTGAACTCGCATGTCGCCAAATTCTACTTCTTGATCCCCAGCTGTATTTTTTTGACAGCATCGATAAATAATTGATAGTACAATAGCAGCAATATGCAAGATATAAAAGCATTTGTCCCACTGGGAAGTAAAAAATCTCCCCTCGTTCATCGGAAGTGAAATTTAAGTGCGAAAGATTCTTTAGTCAACTAGAATCGTGTTAAAGTACAATATTTGGATGATGCTTGCGATGTCGACTATGCATGCCGTTTCAGGGTGTCATTTCCGGACTTTCGTCCCGGATTCAGATTTTGGCACATACGCCATGTTGACCGCATGGTCGTTTACCTTAAAACATGCAGTTGAGATAATCTGCCCTAAATGAAATGCATATAGAAACTCCTTTACATGTCCTAGACTAAAACGATTTTTCCTCGTTTGCAACTAACGCGGCATGATCAACATCAAGATCTGTTGTTCTACGCATGCATGCTCAACTGAAAGGAAAAGGCTCAAACATCTGTGCCAATAAAATGTTGACCAATCACATGCACGCATGCAAGAATCTATACTTAAAAATGACCGATTTTAAAGTAAGGAATTGTTCACGTTCTAAATATTTACTTTGGGTATTGTTATAACACGAAGAATTTTCTGTTCGAAGACATGCTTCATGGCTACGGTATATATGTATATATTTTATTATAATCCTAAAAAGTACTTTATATATTCAATCATCTCTTCTTCGAGTCAAGAGTTGCCTTTTTTTAGTAGCCTTTTTTTATATAAATATGGTAATATAGGTCAAGTATAACGCCAACAGAATCTCTCGAGCTGTAGAAAGGAAGTAGTTCATTTAGTATATGTATATAATGTAATTAAGACTTTCCGCTTCACAATTGTAATATTTTCAGACAGGCAAAGCATTTCGTACATTAATCATTACCGTGAAGATAATATAGAAATGGCGGAGTCTTGCGATAAGTGTAACTTGAATTATTACAGACCTTTAGTTTGACGCTTACGGCAAACGCCAAACCGCAAACAATAAAAGTTTGTGTTTTAACTCCACTATCTCTAAGTGTGCGGCAATTTCGCTAAATTAAAAACGTTCTGCATAAAACTTGTGATGTTCAACAGTAATGTAAGAAAGCAATAGGGTATTTCTGATGTATTTAGAAAAGCAGCAAATTCAGCTTTGCCGTATATGTTTCACGTTCACCGTATAAAATTTAATGCTTGAACGGCTGAGGGTGTTTGCAGTCGTTCAAGCATTAAATTTTATACGCGGCGAACGTGAAACACATACGGCAAAGCTTAATTTGCTGCTTTTTTAAATACATCAGAAATAGATAATAAATACATGCTTTCTTACATTACTGCTGAACATCACAAGTTTTATTTAGAACGTTTGTAATTTAGCGAAATTGCCGCACACTTAAAGTTAAAGAGAGTGCAGTTAAAACACAAACTTTGCTAGCGGTTTGGCGTTTGCCGTAAACGTCAAGCTAAAGGTCTCTATTATTCATAGCTAACCTTCTGGGACCGGTTGTTCAAAAGCCGGTTAGCTAACCCTGGGTTATCTCACATCAATTTTTTTAATCGCTCGTTTATGAAGTTGAACATGTTTTTTCATAAATATTTAGTGAATCAATAGAAGTCTTATTTTGTAAAATCTTGAAACAAACAGTGGTTCCGAAGCATATAAACCAAAACAGCGGAGTAAAATTCAACCCCTGCATGCATGCATGTCAATAATATATGGCGCATTAATTTTGAAACCAGAACTGAATAAAGGCACAAGCTAGTATGTAATAAACAGGTTATCAGATGATTGGCTCGGTGACAATATTACAATTGTCCCTCGTTCACTGCGATCACTCGCGACAATTTGTAATATTGTCACTCGGGCGATAAAACTGATATCACCTCGCCCATCATGTGATAACCTATATACATCTGTTTATATGTCTTTTTATTATATGGATGCGGGTATTTTACTGCGAACTAAAACACTCGTAGAACTCAGACGCCACTACATCCGGGGTATACAGTTGGCGTATTTTCCGTATGTCACGTTTAGGATTGACGTTTATAGTCGTCTTTGTGTGTATACTTTTGTCGCTCTGAATTTAGTCCATATCAATAAACAACATTGCACGGTTCGCTCGAAGATGTGGATTTTATGTTCTCGTGTCAAAAGCAATATCTCAGTCGTATATATAGGCCTTCATCAGTTAACTATGTTGTTGTTTTGGCCATTAAACAATTATTGGCCATCAAACATTTCTCGCGTGCATGCACACATGCAGAGTTGTGGCAGACGCAGAAGCTAATAATTTTCTCGTAATTTCGCTTTTATAGTTTTTTGGGAAAATGCTTGGTAGCATATTTTCAGATCCATGTGTCTGTATCTTGATCCTCACATCGTTGCGTGTCATTCATATGTCTGAGCTCCCTACTCTTCGAGTGGATAACCCAGGCAACATCACCCTTGGTGGGCTTTTCTCCTTGTTCGAAAATAACCATGAAGGTGTCTGTGAAGGCAAAATTGCTTTAAATGGTTTACGATCGTTACTTGCAATGCAGTTTGCAGTGGATCGTATTAATTCAAACGACACCATTCTGCCAAACATTACTCTTGGCATGACAGCATTCGATTCATGTCTGAATGGCATTACAGCATTGAAATACACTCTTGAGCATTTTGTTTTAAAAGATCATGCGGGAAAACTGAGTAAATATCCAATTGTCGGTTTAGTTGGACCACCTAAGAGTGAAGAAGCTGTATATACCGCTAAGGTAAAGGAAATAGATTAAGAGTATGTTTTGTTACACATGCAATAGCCAAATCCCATGCATTCATGGCTTTTTACTTGTAATAGAATTAAGCTGAATTTTGGTCCCATATATCAATTATACATATAGATCACATATTCATGAATATATGGAATTTTTCCATTCTTTGTCGTTGATTTCATGTCAATAACATTTATCATTGTATTTTTAGGTCTTAGATGTTTTTGAAATACCTGTCATTAGTTATAGTGCAACAAGTGAGAAATTAAGCGACAAAAAGCTATTTAAATACTTTTCTCGCACTGTACCGTCTGACGTATATCAAGCTAAGGCCATTGTTGACTTTTTTCGATATTTCAATTGGACGTATGTGAACGCCGTGTACAGTGATGATTCGTATGGCACGTATGGGATGAAACTGTTGAGAAAAGAAGCCAAGAAACACGGTATCGTTTTACAATCCTAACACTTCACATAGTTATTTTAAGGGGCGCGAGACATTGCTTATATAGGCGGTTATAATCTATCGCGTTTGTCGAGGAATATTCCCAACTCCGCGCGAAATGTGTAACAATCGAATGCAACGGACCTCATCATAATTTCCCCTTCAGAATTTTACATGATACCTTCAGAATTTTATATGATGCCTTCAGAATTTTATATTTAAGCCTCCATCGGCCAGTTGTGTAAAAATTATATAGTGTATTTCTGAGTTAACTGAGATTTAACTATACAGAATTTAGTTAAAGAGTTTTATACAACCGGCCCCAGAATTTTATATGATGCCTTCAGAATTTATATGATAGACTACTAAAACACGCTCTGAACGCGCTCAAACGCGAAAATGTTAAAGACGGCAACTTCGGCTCCAGAGTTTGTGACAAATGCACGGATTTCATCTATTTTAGGTGTTAATGACATGACATTGGATAAAACGAGACCACATGCACAAACGGAGGAAGTCCAGGTTTCGAAATCTTAAAGAGAGGGGGGGGACGTCCTTATTGAATGTTATGGTACTGCTTTTGTCAGCAGCTCATCCTATGTAATGGTAGTTGTTACCACTGTAGTTACCACTGTCATGCAGAGGTGGCGCTGCGTTACTGCAGGGGGTCGCTCGTTGTTTGCACTTTGCACATGCATGTGTACTTATTTTCAATGCTACTTTCATTCACTTTACTTCCACAGTTATGACAATATATTGCGTTCGACACACATGATTTGCTACAGTGCTGACAAAACATATTAAAATACTACATACAAAAACTACCTATATGAAATGTCTACAATATTATGCACAATTGCACGCGTGTAGTCGAATAAGACATGAGGCAAAACGCGTGCGCAAGACAATAAAGTACGGAGTAAACAATGGGGATTAACATTTAATATATGAACTTTTTAAAAATAATTTAGTTGACGGGAGACTTCAACGCAATCTGAATTTTGTTCTATTAAAGCAAGGGCAAGTTCGAACACAACTAGGCCATTATATTTGAAGGCTTTCGCGCAGAAATGTTTTTGAAATGACGTGTAGCATCTTTAGAATAAAGTTGTAGAATTTTAGATTTAGGCACAAAGCTAAAAGAATGCCAATTGTAATTTTGTTAAATCAAAATCGATCGAAATTAATCGCCTAGCCTCGATACCAGAATTTTGCCAATGCAAAATTACTAGAAAATCATTTTTAACCCTATACCTACCTGGGTTGCATTTTTCGCAACGTCTCTGGTTTGTTCTTACATACAGTGGCGGCGCCAGATTAAAATGAGTGGAGGGCAATTGGGGGGCGAAGACTGAATGTTTTGGGGACAACACTAGAAAAGTATGAAGAAAGTATTACACTATATATACTTACGTAACGTGAAAAGACCTCAGGGATGAGCCCACTTGTCCCCCCTATAGCGCACCCAGGCCTGGCACGTAAGTATTGTAATATTCTGATTCTTCGTAATCATTCTACTCTGTAATCCATATTCGTACTCGTTATACCCCGTATTCGCACTCCATTCTCCACATCCTGCAAAATGTACTCCCCACTCCATACTCCGCAGACATATAAAACTGCGAAGGCTATGAATAAAATCCCGAAGGCATCAAATACAATTCTGAAGGCACTTACATAAAATTCTGAAGGCCCTTGCATAAAATTCTTAAGGCATCATATAGGCATCTTTAGGGCATCAAATATCATGTTAAAATAAAATTCTGAAGACAGTTTATATTGTCCCCTATATACTTTAATTACTTTTATAAGAAAGTTTTTCCGTTTCACCCAGGCGTTCACTTTCTAATTTTTCCCCCACCCCATAAGGTCCCATGCATATCATAAAATTAATGTTTTCTATATTAATTAAGGTATATGTTTTGCCAAAGAAATTGAACTGTCATTGAATGTCGACACAGCTATGTATCATGAAAAAGTTGGTCAACTTTCAAATCTTACTAATACTGATGTCGTTCTACTGTTTTGCAGTGCTGCAGTAATCAAACCCCTCATTTCGAAAATGATGATTTTGATAAAAAATTTTAATAATATCCAGCTGTTGTGCTCAGATGCCATAGGCTATAACTCTTTGCTTTTAGACTATATTTCTAGCAAAAAAACAGAATATGTTTACATCAGTATAAAAACGAATGCCATTGAAGACTACCGTGACTACTTGGAAAATTTAAGTGCCGAGAAAATAAACATTGTGCCCTGGTTTAATAAGCGCGTGTACGAACAAATCATGAATCGTCCTTTCAAAACTGACAGGAATAAGTCGCGAAGATGCCATTCAAATAAGAAATTTGGAAAGGCGTTATCGTCGGGATTTTCGAAAGGTGCTGCCACTAACGTTATAGATGCGGTGTATGTCTTCGCGCATGGCCTTCACCAAGAATTGACAGCTCGGTGCCCAAATTTGGCTTATTGTGCGCAAAACGGCAATGTATCTGGCGCGTCATTACTTAAACTTATCCGTAATTCAAGCTTTCAGAGCGCTGATGGAAGGAGAGTTTATATCGATCAAAAAGGCGATGTGACGGGAGGATATGCGTTTGAATATATCACAACTAGGAAGGATGGTACGCGGGAAAGTAAAATAATAGGTGATTGGCAAGGTCGATTGAGTCTGAACTTGAACTCGATATATAATTCTGGTTTGACCTCGGCGAAAACGCAGTGTTCTGAACCATGTAAGAAAAACGAAATAAGACAAAGAAACCACGAAAAACCATGCTGTTGGAAATGTGTAGAATGTCAGGCTGGGTCAATTGCCCGAAACGAAACAATTTGTCATCCCTGTGGTCAGGGTTATTTGGCAAACCAAGAGAAGGCAGAGTGCGTAAAAATCCGAGACCTTTTCTATAGTTTGGACGAACGAATCTCAAATTTACTGGTTGTCCCTCCCTTGGTACTTTCTGCGTTTGGAATTTTGGGTATTTTTTTCACCCTTAGCATATTCATAAGATTCCATTTCAATCCACTGATTAAAGCATCTGGCCGCGAATTGTGCTATCTTTTACTTACTGGGCTTCTCTTTTCATTCATCTTCCCGATTCTTTGTGTCTTTAGACCATCTGGCGTTCAGTGTCTCTCTCAATTCATTCTTGACAGTCTTCCGCTTACGATATCACTCGTTCCAATCCTGATGAAAACTAACCGCGTCTTTCGAATATTTGACCCTGCACGAAGAATAACGGACCGTCCTTTGCTAGTTGGCCCATTACCACAACTTGTTTTATCCAACTTGTTAATCAGTTTACAAATTATCTTCTTGCTTGTGTTAGTTCTTCTGCATTTTCCCGATCAGAAAATAGTTTATTTCTCGCCAACAGAGGTGCATCTTGTTTGCAGCACAACAAATAGCCAGCTTCTTGTAGCACATCTGTATAACGTTATCTTGATAATCGCCTGCACTTACTACGGTTTTCGAGCTAGAAATATACCTAGTAATTTTAACGAAGCCAAATCCATTGCTTTTGCAATGTACGCATCGTGTGTAAGTATGTGTGTATTCTTTGTTGCATTCTTGGTTGTGGCCACTGGTAGTTCCAATAAGATAATTCAGCAGGCTTTACACTCATATCGCGTTTCGCTCTTAGCCAACGTCATTCTATTTTGCTTCTTCGCTCCTAAAATTTACATCATTCTTTTTCGACGCCAACTGATCCAAAGGCACGTATTTTCTCTCAATGGCGGGGGAACAACTGTTTGTAACTCACAAGGAAACCAAGGCTATGTGAGGTAATTGTCAATTCACAAAATGTTCCTATCCTATTTTAATCGAAAGCGCATATAAAAAGGATTTGAGTGCTGCCCACCTATATTCATCATTCAAATATTGTATATATATATATATATATTTATTTATATACCCATTTGCAAAAACGTTGGCCGCAGATAGATATATAGATAGATACTCAAAATCTAATTAAAATTGCATAAGTTGTGTAATATGATTGAAATCCCATGCAAATGTAATCATATGCAATTCTAATTAGATTTCGAGTATCTATCTATCTATCTGCGGCCAACGTTTTTGCGAATGGGTGTATATATATATATATATATATATATATATAATATATATATATTAATATATATATATTAATAAATATATATATAATATATATATATATATAATATATATAATATATATAATATATAATATATATATATATTAAATATTATATATATTTATATATATTTTTCGCAAACGGATGCAAGTGTATTTTTGTTACGTTGTAGAAACAGTGGAACGTCAGTAACTGAGGCACCAAAGACAATCCAAAGATCACAAGTTCCTACTGAAATGCCTATCTGCAGAAAACGACAAGGTATATTATATTTCTATTTGGACGCATGTCATCTCCTGAGAATATAGAGAATATGGAAAACATCCAAATTCTCTGTCTAACTCTATAAAAATTATATCAAATGCATGCTTCTTATCTTTTTAGATTGGAAACGCTGGACAATCTAGGCAACAACAATAAGGCCTAGTTCATAGCTACGTCGCATTTTGGTCGCGTCGAACAATAGATGAGGTAGTAAATCTTATTCAGCCTCATTGTTATTATCTGTTATTTACTTGCATTTGACGCGACTAAAATGCACGTATAAACTAGGCCTATAACGCACACGAATTTGTACCAATGCATTACCATGGTAAAAGAGAAATTGCCATTAGTATCATGCTGCGTTTTTCAATTTATCTCCCGATGAGCACGGTCTGATGGATGCAAGCTAAACGACCTTACTGTTGGTACCATTCGTACGAATGGAAATTGCCTTTTTCCATTCGTAGTCATTCGAGTATGACACCGTATGCTTCGCAATACTAAACTTACAGCCTATATATAGTTATAGATTGAACGGGGAAGTTAAAACAATGACACCATACTGTAAATATTCGAATAAACGCTGGCTTCGAAGAAACACCGCATGGACAATTAGCATTAATATCTTCTTTTCCTTCGTCTTTTTCCTCGGGCGGTGTGTCATATTTGCATGTAGAATTTAGTTCGTAAATATATAGGCGGACATAGAACCACAAAATCTGTGTTAATTAAGGCCTATTTAGACTATACACGGTAAGTTGTATGCAATTATCATTCTGACGAATGCAAAAGAGGACCTATGCCACAATTTTCATTCAATTTAGTTCAGAGTGGAATTTAAAGTGTCACGTTTGTATGTATGTTCATACGTTCACATACGCCAGGATACGAATCGTATACGAAAAATCGCATAGTGTAAATGGGCCTTCACATCATTGCACCATTATGTCAAACACAAAAGGACTAATAAATAAATGCAGTATTTCATTCCTAAAATATATTTTATTGTTATTTCGAATAACTTCCTCAGTTGACGTCACACGTCACATTAGTTTAGTTCTTTCATGTTCCCTATCAATAATTAAAAAGTTAAAATGATCAACTTTCTGGCTCAAAGCCAATAAAGGATAACTTTTCGACCTATAAAATGTATTTCAAAAGTTCTGAAAATGCGGATTCAACCTATCTAATTATTCCATTTTTTAAAACATGACATGCGTGGCTATAATTATCAGACAGTGAGCAAATTGCATGGATTTCGTGCACAACTTAAAATACTACCAGCTGTTTGATGCCTTAACAAATGTATTGTTTTTCACAGTCTATGCAGCTGTAAAAATTTGACAAAAATGTCTGAATACGTATAGTGTCTCAGATTTACTTTCCACGATTACACATACAAAGGTATGTGTACTGCTTGAATTTCCGAGCATTCACTTTCAAACTTTTTTTGAGCTAAACAGTAAGTAACACGAATACCATCAAGGTACTATTAGTATCTTAGTATTTAAAGATGTTTTCAGTGACTCATTGTTCATTCCCGCCTTTTGAGTTTCAAAGTTTAAACCACATGCCCCAACTTCATGGCTTGACTGTCACGTGACCTGATGGCGCCAACTACAAGAAACATTTTAGTTACCAGTTGCATGCATTGAGAATACTTTATTTTACCTATTACCGTTTCATTTCCTTGTATGCACTATCGTTCCATTGAAACACCATCTTATTATACGCATGCACAACCTCACAATTGTATAGATGAGTCCAATTGTATAATGATCGCACTTGTGTGAGAATGCTTACATTTAATTATAAATAGAAAACAATTTCCGTGTTTCTATACAGGTATATAGAAACACGTTTTTTTTCACAGACTATAAAAATGACATTACACAGTAAACAAATAATATGCTTTTGATAATCAAATGTGGTAGGCCAACATGCAACAACAGTGTAAAATAGACAAAGTTACGTCTGATCAACTAAATGTGATTCTATAGATTCTGTATGTATGTATTCCTGGCCTATAATCTATCAAATATAAAAAAGCAGAATTCTGAACGTGAAATACGGATAAGAAAAGAACCACGAGGATAAACGAGCAAGCATACTGTACTGCATCAATCGAAATAAGGCACTTAATGAAGGTAAGGAAATTGACAATAACCCTCGGACTAATAATAACTTCACATTCGCATGCATTAGTGTCCACACATATTATTACATCGACGGATCATTTCGTTGCTCTTACGGAATCGTCTATATATGAAAGCTAATCTTGTCCATGCATTTAGAAAAAATGCAGTCCCACTATCAGCAAATTCATTATAGCTATTTGTTCCAGTTTGCTGTATATAGAAACTAATGACGCACTTATATATACGTAAATTGTTCATCTTATAATCCGTTTTCTTCAAAGACGATTAGATACGTCAGCTAGCCAGCAGTATCTCGCTTGCGCATGTAGCTATAATTGTATGTATACAACATAATTTTTATATCAATAAAAACCGATCGTTGCATGTAATTGAAAAATAATCAGTACCATTTCTGTTTATTGCAACGCCTGTGTCATTGGGCATTATGTTATTGAAAGAGTACGACCTTCACAAGAATCCTTGAATCCTTGAGTAATGACCTTCACAAGAATCCTTGACTCAAGTACAGCTGTTTCTCCTCGCATCATGCACAAGCAATTTTGAATGATTTGAATGTCTATTATTATATTATTTATTAATATTAACTTTCTAGATATTTCTAGATATTGTCATTTGAATCGGTTAGACCCACGTAACTACTGCGTGCATGTAAGAGACTTAATTCCCCTGAATGCGATGTGAAAATAGCTTTCAAACAGTCATGTTCGAAGTCCTGAAACGGTCTTCAAAATACAAATTGAAATATCGCGTGATACTGATCAGTTGTGTCGTCACTTTCCGTAAAAAAATCTAGATGAAAAGGAGATAAAAATATAAGTGACAACCGCAGGAGAAAGAAGGTTCTCAGTCTCAGAGTGCGTATATTAGGAGAATATAAACACGGAATATAAACTTTCTACGCATGAAATCACCATGCAAAAATAGCTGCATGCATGTTTCATGTTTTAATTCATGCATGTTTCAAAAATCTCTGTGTGACAAACAGCAAATCACCTTCTTTTCTTTTTTTTTTCTAATCACTTTATTGCAGAAATAAATAAAATATTTACAATTTGGCAAAAGGTGGCCGCACAGGACATAGTCCCAATTGACTACAGCTACCATTGACGATACATACATGACATGCCATTAGTTTATACATAGAATACTACATTATCAATGTCATTACTACATAGAATACTACATTATCAATACTATAAAGTTCAACTAAGTTAGTAGACACTACTATTTACCAGATTCTTGCATGCTACAAGATTCCTACTTGGTAGATTATGGCGATACATTTTTGGTTACCTTCTCAAAGACGTGTATTTGCGACGTTTGTTATATAGAAGAACGTAGCTATATAAAACACATCGCATTATAAATTAGTTACACTATTGAGTCTGTTTCGACCGTATAATACAAAAGTATACAAAATATGCTCACTTTGCTAGCTTGACTATGTTTTCGGGATAATAGGCTATACTTGACATTTTTTAACTGAACTTGGGATTTAAACTAAGTTTAGTATCCCTTTTATCTCTTTCTTTATTGTTGCCTAGATCATAAATTAGTCTGTATTATGCAAGTGGTCCATTTGTAGTTAACTTTTATCAAAGAGAACATCAAAAGTATATAGCTATCACGCTGAATTCGAATGCGCTGTTATATCATGTTATACATATAGCTAGTCATATAGAAGAGTATAACTACTTATACTGGCAAAATTTCAGTTTCATTTCATTACCTGTACGTTGGATGAGTCATTCACAATGTATAGTGGTGTTTTTAGTTATTTTCCGACAACGAAGAGCTTTTTGCGGAAACCGCATGATGGTTAATTCACTGACGTATATTTACACTCCAAACAGTCATTGTGGTTTTTATGTCTGCATGGGGAGCTTTTCAGTGCAGTGTTTTACGCATGTTTCATAGGAAGCGAGCTGATGACGGATGTTTTATAAGAAACTAGCTGATGACGCAAACAATTGCTGCACAAGTCAGTTAATGCGTACATTATTTGATACAAACTATAGCTTGCTGTAGGTTGATTGAATCATGGGCCAAACATTGTTAGCTATATATAGACGGTCGCTTTGCGTGATAGTTTGATTCGTTTATTACAAACAAAGAGGCCCGAAGAGGGTAGGGTTTTATTCAGTAATCAAGGGAGCCTGATTTGATATTTATTTTTGTCCATAAAACCATATGTTACAAAATAACATGCTTGAACGTTTCTTTTATGATAAGTAGTTTACCTTCTCAAAGACGTATATAGTATCATCATTAGTGGTATTACCCAAACATACGTAATCAACAACTCTTGTGTGCCAATTGAAAACTCTCAAGTCCGTGCATATATACTTGTCGTGATGCAAAGTATAAAATATGTGAGCATGGCTGACGTAACCATCCGTACCCTTGAGTGTATAAATTTCAGCCCAGCATTGAGGTTGTGCACAATCGAAGAGAAGAAACAAGATGGCAAGCAAAATGGCAAGTTCGTCGACAGCGTTGAACGATTCTCCCAGTTTAAAAGTGGTGAAAAAGCTGTGCAACCGAGGTCTCGTTAGTTTAAAGTTCTTGAAGAATTTTAAAGAGAAGTTTGGAGCAGTAAAGGCTGTTGTAAACAGCAAACGTGTGCACAGGGCAAATGACGAAGAGTATTGGTTGGGTAAGATTTTAAGCGATATATTGAGCCGAAAAATTTTACTATACATAATTATAAATTTATTCGAAGCATTATAAGCAGCCTTATAGTTACCTACACACCTTGTGAAAAGGACGAACATTGAGGGTTTAACCAATTAACCTGTATTAACGATTTCACGACGTCACACTTAAACTGGCCTTGGCTGGCTTATATGCATGCATGCACCCTTATTTGTCTATATTAGCTATAAACATGCAATGTTCATAATTATGAAGTTCTAACTTACATTTTAGAGGGTTAACATTTAGTATGCATAGGTCTAACAAATGATTTATACAGCATTCATTTGAAAAAAATACTTTACACTGATATCTGCTGCACAGACAGTCCGTTCGTATTGCTCATTACCTTGTTGCTTTACAATTTACCCATCTCTACTAGCTACTTTTCGGAAAGTTTTTGATCGCAAACATAATCGAATTTCCAGATACGAATAGTTCACATTTTACAAGTTTACATGTATGTAACCTGCGACCCCAAATAAACTGTAAATGCTTTGCGATTAGACCCTGCTTAATTTCATAGGCAGGGACAAACTGCGTTACCTCGCGTAGCCTACAGTTACTACATGCTTTCAATTTGAAATGGATTTTACAATTTAAAGCTAATTAATGTTATACAGTAACAACTGTCTTTTTGGAACTGTAAACCTTGAATTTTGGGCGTTGAAGCGGGAAGGGGTCGATAATAAAGTTTGCAAGCAATCATGCCATATATCAGCGTCAGAGTCCGTTAGATTTTGTATTTCATCTGCTTTTTCTTTCAGCCTAATCTCTTTGTAGTCGACAAGCCCCTATTTATTGTGCATGCCGTGGATTTTTATACGTGCTATATTACTTACTGAATATGGCACTAGCTGTGCCTAATGGCAATTGAAAACCTTTTAACTTGCTGTACAAGAAATTCTAAAAGCGTATAGGCCGATGAAACTAAATTCAAAGGGTGGCTGGTATGGGTGGGGAGGTAGGATATGCTGCGAGTTGTGATCACGCTCTTTTTTCATGGTCCCAGATTGCGACTGTCCCAATCCAAATTTCGCTCCAAGGGGCTTGTCCTGAAGTAAATTAGTCTCTATTTTTTTATTCAAATTCAGTCTTCGTTGAATGTGCATGGTAGCAATATTCTGATACGTCAATCACCTTAGCATGTTCAGAGCAATTATAAGAGCACTAAAAGCATTTAGCCGAAAGATACGATAAATATATCGTAAACTATATAAACTATCGTTTTTGTTATTATTCCTAGGCATTCGTAAAATGTTTGCTTACGATGAGGACGACGAGAACGATGCCCTTCCAATCAACGCCGCAAACCTTGCGCCAACTTTTAACGAGGTGCAGTTGATCCAGAATGAATATTTCCTTGAATTGAATAAGAATATCGCTATCCAGAATCGTTTGGAAGTTTTCGGTTTGGTAATCGATGAAGCGCGTGCTTTGATCGCAAATCAACTCGGAGTTAACTCGGATGAAATAGCCATCATGCGAAATGCAACCGAGGCAAACAACAACATCATTAATGGTCAATTATTCAAGCCAACTGACGAGGTACGATACATGCATGTTGCGGGATCTAAGCATGTTAAAAAAAGTTATATATATATATATATATACATCCATGTATTATTATCTATTATAATTTTTGATGGTGCACCCTATATTAAACTATATATTTACGAAATTAATGTTAAACGGAGATTAATGTATTGCCAAATTACAAATATGAGCTCATGAGGGAGACTAGCCCTACTGTACCTCAAACATTTTTTTTACTTGCAAACTATTATCACCCTTTTTACAGGTCGTCATTTGGGAGCAAAACCATGGGTCAGACAAGGAGGCCTGGTACATCCGTCAGCAGCAACAATCATTCAAGATTCCCTCTGTGCCATACGACCTCGAAGGTGCCACCTCAGACAGCGACATCGTGAATGAGTTCATGAAGTTTGTTAACGAGCATACGAAGTATGTCACATTTTCCCATCTCTCCAACGTTGGTGGCCGTCTGTTGCCCGCGGAAGCAATTTGCAAAGCTGTCCATTCTAAATTCCCACACTGTCATGTGCATGTCGATGGTGCGCAGACATGGGGCTGCATGGATATGAATTTAGCTGAGATGGATTGTGACAGGTATGCATTAGCAGTATTCTTTTATCACCCATGGAGTTTTTCTAAAATCATAATACCTATATAACCACGAAATTATTTTAAGCGAGCCGCCAACGCTGGTAAACCTGAACCACATGCAGTGACGTGTATACATGAGCTGATCGCCAAATACCTATATACCCTTCTTGTCATGCATGAGTGTAGCTTGGTGAAGGCAACAAGAATACATTAATATAATTTCGAGCTTGAATTAATGAAGATTTTTAGCGACTTAATTTTAAAAGTCGTTTAGAGAAAATCGGGTTTCTTTTCAGTTATGCCTCATCAAGCCACAAGTGGTTCTTTGGTCCCAAAGAAACTGGAATATTGTTCATGAAGAAGAGTCGTATTAAGAACTTTTATCCGAACACCTTTGGTTACGACTTGAAGATTAACCTCCCTAAGAAGCTTTACCATGATGCCAGAAGATTCGAAACCCTTGGCACGCGTTCAGATCCCAGTTTGATGTGCTTGCTCAACACTGCAGAAATTCTGGGGGATATTGGTTATCAAGCGATTGAAGCTCGGGTCCGCTATCTGGGTACTTTGGTATACGATGGTTTCAAAAACTTACCAAATTTTCCCATGACAACACCAGCAAATGAATCTCAACGTATTGGCGTGATCGTTGCAGACGTAGAACCTCAGGTAAATTTAAGTTTTCATGTTATATGTTGTTTATTTGTTGAGTGTTAATTGACCAAAATATTTCTTATTACATCGATGTTATCAGCGGTGTGGGAGGCATATAATGAATACTGTTTAACGATTCAAAGGGAGGGAAATTGCCGAATTAAATTTTTTATACCAAATCGTGCGTACACGTCTGAAGACATCCAACATGCATGACCCATGGCATGGTTAGCCTTATTGTCCTTAATCTTTCTTTAACTATATTGTGACGACGACTTGTTGTCATTTGCGATTTTGATGATTGAGTGACTGAGCAATTGCTGTTGGGTATTTCAGCTCATCAATGTTTCCAAGCTTTTATCAATTCATTTTTCGGAGTTAGAAGCTCTTCTATATGCATGCTACTTCCACTGATCTGCCGGAACATACACTACTCCTGCTGCGATTTATATATGCACTGCATGAGAATAAATCTCCTTTACCATGCATTAAAATCCTAACCCTAGCTTATGTGATACACTAACTAAAATAGGTGTCTTCTGATAATATAGCTAATGTTGTTCTGTAACTTTTATATCGTGTCTTGATTGCTTGATTCCCGTTTTGTCCATGCATTTATAGCCTATTGCAAGGAAGTTATTTTTGTCTAGTTATAAGAGTTAGTCATTTTACAAGTATTTGATCGCGCATTTTAGATCTTCTCTTTCGGAAATATCTTGAAAAATATTGACGTTGCAAAGTTTTGTATATACTAATATACTCGGATAAAACACAGGATCTCGATTCCAATCATATACTAGTAGGTTTTCTTCACAGTGTTTTGCAATAGGCTCGCCATTCAAATGCCTCAACTGCATGGTTTCGTACCCCATGCAGACTAATAATACAATAAATACAATTTAAGTATAGGAAAAGTGCTAATTTGATGTTTTCCTTGTCTTTTAGTGGGGCCAAGACCTGTATAATTATTTGTACGATTATCACAGAATCGCAGTATCCAGTACAGGTGGTATACGTATTTCGCCAACAATCTCCAACATGCCATATCAGATATCTTACTTATTGGCTGCCGTCGAAGAATTCATTCTAAAAAACCCACCTCCACCTAGAAATTAGTGAACTATAAAGTAATCTTTTGAATCGATATACAACTTGACATGCACGTGCTACTATATAATTAGATTTAATAATATGTAATCGCATCTTGTATTTCTGGGATTAAAATTATATTGCAATAATAGACTGCATTTATTGGATGAAGGCTGAACATGATAGCCCCTATATCAAGAATTCAGACCAAGTATACCAATATTCGGCATGAACATATGCATGAGGCCAGCAATCATTTCGAAATTTTTTACTGGTTAATAACAATTGTTCGATCTGTAAAATCAACCGGCAAAATACAAAATAATTGACCTCTTTTTGAAATTGTATCCCAAAAATAACGCTAGTAAATACCTACATAGAAGTATCCCAAGACGCTGGTAAATACATATATCTATAATAGCTGCAAAGATTTTCCCCTGCGGTTATTAAGCCATGCAGTTTAGTCATTTAAGCTAGTTAGCCGAAAGGCAAATTAAGGGGTGTATTAGACTAAAATTTGGAAAACTTTTTAGTTCGCAACAAACGTTCAAATACGCTGGAATAAATGCATTTGCCAACTGACCTAGGATAATCAATGTCCATTCCATTTCAGTTTTTGGTATCTTAACAATTTTTTACATTTTAATAGTGTATCTTTTAGTGGGGCGTTGCCCTGTTAGTGTATAATTATTTGTACGAAACTCATAGAATGGCAGTGGCCAGTACAGGTCGTATACGTGTTTCGACAACAATTTGCAACATGCAATATCAGATGCAATCACTATTAGATGCCGTCGAAGAATACATTGCCATGTATCCAACTCTATCCCCATCAGCTAATTAAAGCATTTTTCAGTGACTGGTGAACTAAAGTAGCAATATAGTAGCCTTCTTTCACTACTTTTTTTGAAGGAATCCCTATATTCGACAAGGATATCAGGAAATTAATCAATTTATTCCCTTTCATTTTTCCTTGTAGAGTGTTAAGCATTATATCCAACTAAAATGCTGTAAACTCGCGCTGCTGTTCCTGCTGAAATATTTTGTGATCTTATCAACGTTTAAAAGATCTGGGAAGTGTTTGGCCCGATTCTCCGTTTCAAAACGAAAATCTGCTGCAAAATAACTATAGCAGTATTAACGGAACGAAAGGGTATAGGAACGAAAATCCACGCTTCAGTCGTAAACCATGCAGTTCGAAAAAATAATGAATGCCCAATGCTTCGCCTACTATTCCCTGGTAGGATGCGTATCAAAGAAAGCACAAAACAGACTCGAGCTTTGTGATATTTCCTAAAAAAAAAAAATAGAAGTTGGACTGCACGTAGATTATTGGTTTTGTATGACAGACGATTGTGATTTGAAAAATACACTGCGGATTGATAAGTGTTTTTATCGATTTTTCTAATTTAGCTAAAAAATAAACATTATGTAAGTTAGGTTTGTATAGCAGCGATTTCTTCAAATATTGCGTAAGAAAAAAATCACGCAGTGATAGAAACGGAACACGGAGTGATTCCATTCATTGAATTGAGTTATTTGTTGACATGAGCCCGTGAAGTCTGACCACATCAAAAAGTTGGTCGTTCACTTAATCTGTGAGTTTCTTAATGGTAGACTTAGGGATGGAAGTTGTGGATTCTTTTATTGCCATCCACTGGTCATTTTTGAAGGAATACTGCTTCCCATCGGCATAAACTTGGCGCTTAATGATCGACCACAAGTTCTAAATAGGATTTAAGTCAGGGGAGGGGGGGTTTGGAGGCCAAATCATCAGATGATAGATAATCATTCACGAATCCGATAGAATTCAAAAACGCTGTTGTAGCCTTTGCCGCATGGGACGGAGCGTTGTCAGACATGAAGATGATCTTCTTCAGTTGTGACAATGGAAGGCCATCCACAACCATGGTTTAAGCACATTCTTCAAAAATTGGCAATACGTGACGGATGTCAGTTTTACTCCTTCATGCAGGAACACGAAATGGACCGATGAGCTCATCCCCAATAATACCACCCTAAATCATTACGCCTCCAACTCCTTGTTGCCGCCTCATCCCCGTTGAAACCCATCCTTTTGCCCAGCCGTCAGGACTGTCTAACGTTGCTCTTGATTTGTCATTGAATGGGACAAACTTCATTTCAGTTTTCATATATTTCTTGGACCATTCTACACAGTAACCTGTCTCGAGGCCACTTTCGATAATTATGTCATTATGGGACTTGCCATTAATTAAAAGAGTGCATTTGGTTAGGTCAAGTCATTTATGTCTGTCATCTTGCGCGAGTAATCTTTGTATTATTTCCACACATGTCGCCCAATAGATGTTGCATTTTCGCAGCTCGTTACTGGGCATTTTCCTGCGGTCTTAAATCTTAATTACAATCGAAAGCGCCAAACACGAGTTTGGGATATTTAGCTAGGGGTTACAATCCCCTAGCTATTTTATTAATAAAATTACGTAACATTTCAAAATTATCAAAATTCTGCTGCTTAAACGCTATAGTTTATACTAAAACAATAGGACAACTCAGCCTCGTTGGCTATGAGCGAATAGTAAACTCGGCCTCGTTGCAATAATACATTCGTACAATTCGTACTAATATTTATAAATCTTAGTCGGTGAGTCCAATCTCCGACCGGAGTAAAAATCCGACAACAAATGTGACGCCACATTACGCGTAAAACCCTGGGTACGAATTTCGCTCGTACCCCATTAAATTTTAAAAATTACACCTAATGACTGTGATAATAAAAAGGCAAATAAACAGTGCTGTTTAAAGTTTTCAAACGGACTTCAAAATACAAATGAAATATCACGTGATGATATCAGTTGTGTCTCTAGGTGTGGCGTAGTAAGGGAAAACCGCAAAGAATAAAGATGTTTTTGGTGTCTTTCGCTTTAAGAGAATTAAAGCGAGGGATATATATAGTTAATCTAGACTCTACTGTTTTTTACTATATGCATCGTACACCGTTTTCAGGTAACATTACACTACTTTACACTACGTGTAAGTAGATTCTTTTATAACGTTTTTCTCGCGTAATTTATTACATAAGTAGGTATTTTTATAATGTGTTTAATGGATGATAATGCTTGACGTATAAACTAGATCTAGCAGTGTATCAATTCAATTCAATTGATTTTGAAATTCATATATAGCTTTATAACATACCATCGATAAAGTCACGGCTAGCGATGTTTGTGTCCTTGAGAAGAATAATCCCGGGCAAACAACTCACTCACCTTTTCAGTTTGGCAATGTAATTATTGTTGGATATTACGCAGAATTTTTATGATATACGCGAAAACAGCCAGAAAGGAACTGTGAGGTATACGCCCCTTGACAGTATAACCCACGAGTCGATTAACTTAACATTTGCATGCATTGAAAAAATATCCATGGATATTCTATGTTAATAATCTAAAATAATCATCTGATAAAAATCTATATTTCAGAAAATTTTTCATTGCTTGAAATGGTTAAGTTACGGAATTGTTTAGGTAATAATTATTATTTTCAGAACATTTATGACGTACATATATAATATAGATATCATCCCATGCAATTTCCGTTCCTTTCAATAGCCATGGTAAATGTATTTGATGTATGCACATGCGTTTAGGATGTTTATACCAGACCTTTGTCAAAACATAATCCAATAATATCAACGCGAGATTCGATTGCAGAAATATACGCTCTATATTGCAAACCTTTCGATTATTTGTTGAGTCTTGCCAGTTGCCATAAAAAGAGTGTAGTTAAGTCAAATCATTTATTAATTATGTAATTGCATGAACGCCATTAATTTTCCCGTTTTTTCTTACTTGCTATTTTTCATCGCTGAAATGATTTAATCTATATTTTTCTTTGCATGGTAGAATATAGCGATTTAAGATCCATTTCAAAAATCAGCAAAGCATCTTAAGCAAAGACCTATATAAACTATATATATCGTAAACATGTTTTAACCTATAATGTTCTCTATCTTTCTGTTCAATGCAAAACAAAAATAGTATTGAGTTGGAATGCCGAATATACATAGAATAATCATATCATCAAATGTGGTAGAAAAGTTGGCCTAAAATAGACAAGATAGCTACTACAGACGTTTGGAGCATATACGTAGCTAATGGTCAACTGCATATACATGCATAACAGCACAACAGCAAATATTACAATGAAGAATAGATCTATTAATGAAACGTGAACCGCAATGACGTTGACAAGAGTCCTTAACTCGAGTACAGTTACAGCTGGTTTCCGCCCTCTTTCCCATCGCGTTTACACAAGGTCGACAAAAACCGGACGCGATGCGGCAATCCGACGCGAATTTTCAGTTTTTAGAAGCATATGAATGTAATCAAATAAATTCTGCAAGCAAAATCCAGGGCAGCAAAACTATATCACACATACCCACATAATTTGAATCTTTTCATATCATATATTCTGATAAACACGTCCTCCAATATACTTATAATTATGCACGCGGGGACGTCGAAACCGGGGCAGCAGGGGCAGCTGTCGCTCTTGCTTTTTACTGCATGGAAGGAAAGCGGGCGAAGGAACTGGCAGTATTGCATATCTGCTGTATAGACAAATGCTCATCATTCTGATGTAGAAAGCTTCTCAGTGTGGTTTCACGCACCATGCACTGACGTTTAGGAATGCATATAGCGTAAATTGTAACGCAAACCATTGCGGTTTATGACGACGTCTGTTACAGTGAGTGTGCAGAATAAATTACCACAGCTTAAAATCGGACCGCATTGGCAGATTTTGATGTAAAAATATTATTTTCAAATCTATAACCAATATTAAGGTGTTTTGAATTTAAAATTAAGCTGTGTAATTTATTCTGCACACCCCAGATCCGCCACTGGTCTGTTAATATGTCAGTATTTCGTATCTTATTCGTCCACCAGTTTAGGATTTGATATTTATTTTTGTCCATAGCGAATACGTAAGCATCTAATGGCGTATAATCTTTACAGTATAATTATATGCAAAATACGTAATGAAAGAACTCGTGCGTGTGTTAATTAAAGCTCTTAGAAAAGCCTTTCCGCGCATATTTGACGTAACCATCCGTACCCTTGAGTGTATAAATTTCAGGTCAGCATTGAGGTCGGGCACAATCGAAGAGA